AAACATTCAAACCATATCAGAGAGACTCTGCCAAGTTGACCAGGGAAGACGTGAGGAACCATTCTGTTCTATTCTGCTTCCAGTTTCATAGTAGCTGATACATTGACACTAATAACTGCAGTTCCCTTTACTGGACAAAGTAGAAAATAATTTTGGTCTCTGCTGAAATGAAAAGCAATATCCCAATGCTGCACATTTTTGTACAAACAAAAAGCTATTACAATGTGTCATAAGTAGAGAGGAATTTCCTCCTACTTTCAAGCTACTAATAAGAAACTGAAAACTAAAGGAAAATGTACCACTATTCTTTGCTACTGAGAGTCTCAAAGACACTTAAAATGTCAGACACTAAGGTCGTTGTCAAAGCCATGCATCTGTGTAGGGTTCTTAATGTGTGGAAAGGGAGAAAAGTATTAACCTAGCACATGAGACAATTTCATACTGACAGGTTTTTCACATCAAACAGAGTGATGTACTTCTCTAATCTATCACGAAGGAAACTAAATAAATCCTGAGCCCCAGAGATACAAGCTGAATGTGTTGCCTATGAGAATTCACTTCATCTTAACCACAATGCTATGACATAGGTAGTTATTGTCCCATTTCACAGATGAGGAAACTGAGGCCCAGAGAAGTTCATGGACTCAACCAAGGCCACGCAGCTAATGACTGTGGAACCTGGAGCTAAACCCAACTTTGTGGGACTCAAAAGTGCTGGCAATTATTTAGTGAATTTCCCACATTCAGACAAGTAGTGGTCAGAATGCAAACAATGCTCCCAGGAAAATAAAGGAGAGGTGAGTGGGAGAAATGTGTCTGTGGGAGACAAACCTAGGCACTGGGAGATTAGGACGGAGGGGGCAAAAGGGAAGGCCAGGCCATCTGAATTGCAGGTTTCCAACTTAGGGATTTGAAATTAATGGCACTGTTAGTATAGGTAGAAGAGTCAAGGATAAGAGCTGTCTTGTGAGAGAGTAAATGCTATTAGTTTTAAATATACAAGTTTGAGTTTGCAGGAAGGCATCAAGTAGAATTTCAGTCATCTACATAGGTGGTGGCTAATTCCAGAGCCATCAGTCAACAATTCTTCATTCTAGTTCTCCATCAGCTAATGACCTATTAGACCCATCATCCAATCCACCTTTCACCATTTACCAGCAAGGATATCAAGAAAAACTGCTTACCTATTTGTCTACATGTTTGTGCATATTTCTTTTAAAACTCTTCCTCACAAGGCTTACAAAAAGGAGTGCAATACAACAATATTTTTAAATTAATAAACTAAAGTGAAAGGAAAGATAAGATGGGGGAAAATGAAAATGCTACATAAAATGCAAACAGAAAAGTTCTGATCATGTTCTAGATTCTTCCCCAGAGAGGGAGGCAAAGTTGTTCTGATTGAGGACCCTGGGGTCGGGTTGTCTGGCCGCAAAGCCTGGTTGTGTCCCTTACACAAGTTATTGACCTTCCTGGATTTTTCCTTTCCAATCTGCACAACAGAATAAAGATAGAAACTCAGGGGTGTCATGGTGAGGATTAAATACATACTGGCATATATGCATGCATACCTACCTACATACATATAACATACACATATGTATCCACTGTGGCTAAGTGTTCTGCGATGCCAGCAGGCAACACAGGTGCAGTGTTTCAGTGTTCGTAAGGTGAGATGAAACCACTCATTCATGGGTATATTTGAGAACCATGCCAAGTCAAGTTGGAGGCGGATGCTGCACTGGCCCTGACCCAAGCAGTAACAGAGGCCCTCATAGCTGTGACGATGGGTCTGCAGTGAGCTGCGTGCTCAGTAACTTCCTCGTGGAAAAACATCTTAAAATGTTGGGCGTGAAGACGTTTGCTAGTACATCCCATAATAGGTATTTTAATAAAATGTGTTTTCTGTAGAGTGAAATCTGGTGGAGAACAGGGAGAGGCCAATTTAATTCAAGCCGAGCAGATCTAGAGGGATCTGTTACGGCGTAGTGTTCAGGCTGTTTTCCACAAATGTTATTTTGTGCCTCTGTATTTTAATAAACACTGGGAAGTTGTGAGCCTGGTCTAACAGGTGCCTGAATCGCAGGTGTTTAGAACCACCAAGTGGGGCTGATGTTGGTGATGTGATCATCAGCTCCCCTGGGAGAACTATGAGGTCTGATCAGATCGCCCCCAGGAGCCCCAGGCAGAGAACAGGGTGTTCTTTAGACAGAAGTTCTAAATCTTCAAAGTCAGATGTACGCCAGCATAGCGGTGCTCAGTGAATAGTTAGGGGATGGAAGAAGGGGAGGAGGAGAAAGAAGAGAGGACAGGAGAGGAGGCACAGGTTAATTTTAGCCTAATACATTACCTTGGTTTTTACCAAGCAGTCCCTTGAAACATAAGATAACCTCAGTACACAGGAATTTACTTTAAGCAGTTTTCCTTGCTGGTGCGACTTCCAAACACACAGCTCATAAACTGTGTTCCACGAAAACAAATGTGTTGTCTCACTGTGTGCCTGGAAGTCATTAAAGTACTTGGAGATACCTAACAAATTATTTGGATCATGGGAGAAAGGGCTGCTTCATACTGCCATCGAATATTTATCAAAAGCTCAATTATAGTGGCTTTTTGAAATGAACTGAGCTCTTCCAGAGACTGAACATAATTTTGTCTAGTGTTTACTAAGCCCAAATGCGTTATTGACATTGGATTTAAACCTCACTCCTAGAACACAGTCTCTTCATTTATTACTGAAGTCGCATCAAACCTCCAGTGTAAGTCCTGCTGCAGGAAAACAGATCAGGCGATACTTTACTGGGGAGTGAGGCTGTTCTGCGAGGCCGTGGTCTGAGACAAAGCAAACCATCTCTCCAGAGGCCCTTCGGTTCTCCCTGCTGGGATGGTGGTGATTTCTACTGCACAAGATTTTGTCCCTCCTGATTGTTGGCAGAGCCGAGGTTGGGAAACCCTGCCTTAACCTTCTCCCTTTTCCCTCACGTTATTAAAATACTGCGTGGATTTGATGAATAACCCTCTTGCCATTTTCCTTTTTCTTTAGCTCTCACCTTGGTTTTCTGCATCTCCCTGTCATCTTGAATAAGCAGGTCATGTTCATTGTCTGTGTTTTTCTTCTCCCTCATCGCTATTGGAACCCTTAGAGCTGGTTTTGTCTTTCTGCACCTACAGAATGCTCCGCCCAGGTCACCAGGAGCCTCCTTTTTGAGCGTCGTGAGATTAAACACCCATCCCAGAAGTCATGACATGACACCCTTCACCCCTGGTGTTCCGCTTCTGCAACTCTTCTCTCAAACATTTCCAATGTCCCTTACCGATGCCTGTCCCTCTGAGGGCACTCCCCAGTCTACCCCAGTGATACTCCAGTTCCTTTTCTTCTCCTGGAGCCGTCACCCACTTCAGTGGACGCATGGATGACCCCTCCTGGTCGCATGCTCCCCAGATGAGCATTAGTTGACTTTGATCTCCCACCAAAACTTGACAATTCTCTCTTGTCCTCCTAGTCATTTCCTCTGCTACCTGCCAGTCCACCGATGTGTAGCCATTCAGTAAGCATGTCCCAAGGGCTTGTGTACCAGACACTGTCTGTTGTGCAGACACACACTACTAGAAGATCATCTCTTTCCTTGTGGAGTTCACAGATGAGCGAAGGAGACAGGCTTCAGAGAAAGGCCACTTTGATTTCAGGGCTTTGATTTCAGGGGATGTCTGCCCCATAAGCCTGCCACAGCATTGGCACTGTATTTTATCAGGCACCCCACCATTAACTACTGGGGAAGCAGGAACCTAAAGGATATGCAAATTAAAACACTTTATGAATTACATATACATATTAATAATCTATTTTTAAAATATAACCCAAAATAGACATTTTAAAAAGATGAACTTCACAATGAAATATAAATGTAATAGGTGTTACAAATTAATGGTAGAGATAAACTAATAACTGGAATAATAAAGATAAATTAAGAGTAAGTAAAAATTGAAATTTCTACCTATCCCCATTGGAAACCTTGGGCTTTCCTTCTTTGTCGGCTTTATACCTATGATAACTCTCTATTCCTCGAAAAATAATAAACCACCCAAGGACAAGTAGAGGCAGAAAATTGTTACCCCTTGTTATTAGTTTGCTTGGGCCACCATAACAAAGTAACACAGACTGGGTGACTTGAGCAACAGAAATTTCTTTTCTCATAGCCTGGAGACCAGAAGTCCAAGATCAAGGCATCGGGGCTGTGCTGGTTTCTTTTGAGGCCTCTCTCCTTGGCTTGTAGGTGGCCGTCTTCTCCCTGTGTCCTCACATGGTCTTTTCTCTGCATTTGTGTCCTAATTTCCTCTCTTAAGAGGACACCTGTCATACTGGATTTGTCATACTAATGACCTAATTTACTCATAATTACTTCTAAAGACCTTGTCTCTAAATACAATCACTGAGGCTTTATGGCTTCAACATATGAGTTTGGTGGGGGGACCCATTTCAGCCCCTAACACCTGCAGACCCAGAGAGAACTATAACAGGTGTGGAGTGAGGAAGAGGAGGAATGAATCCCTTGACATCTCTTTCTGCCTACCCTCTCTTCTCCCCCGGCCCTCCCATCACTCAGCCCAACAGAAAACCAGGGGATAAGAAAGAGGCAGTTTCTTCAGGTCAGCATCCCAGCAGAGCCCAGCAGAGGAGGAGGATGATTGGGCATGAGGGGCAAATGGAGAACCAGGAGCCAGCACCTCCCCAAAGGTGCCTTCTGCTGGCGATGTCCAGGGAAAAACAATGTAGGCCCTACTCAGTGTCTTCTAAGTGTTTCACGCCTCCTCATGGCCACAAAAATGAATGAGGACATAATGCTTCTTGGAGATGAAATTGAAGTCTGACCAGTGTCTGCAGTGTGGCAGAGCCATAATTAGTACGCGTTCCTTTCTGAGTGGAGCCCAGGTCTGTGACTGGAGGGAATGCGCCCCTGCTTGTGAACCCCTGACCCCGTCTGCCTGTGTTCCTTTTTCCTCAGGAGCCCGAGAGGCAGTACATGCACATCGGCACCATGGTGGAGTTCGCTTTTGCGCTGGTGGCGAAACTGGACGCCATCAACAAGCACTCCTTCAATGACTTCAAGCTGCGAGTGGGTACGTTGTGCAGAGGCCTGGCTTTCAGAGGTGGAGGAGGCATGGAGTCAGGATCAAATTCCAGAAGATGTTGATCATCTTTGCTTCGAAGTGGAGCGATGACAAATGTGTGTTTAGAGCAGCGGGACTGGATTGCAGGTGGAAGGTGCTCAGGGAAGTTGTGAATTTCTCAGGACTTTGGCACAAATTAGAACTATAACAAAAATAATACCCACTTTGGTTGGACCCAGGTTTAGCAACTGGACCATGAGTTGGATTTCAGTCCCACTGTCCCCTTCCCTTCAGCCAGGGACAAGCCAAGACATGCACAGCCTCAGCCTCCCTGAGGAGCTCATGGAAGCCACCGGCTATAAGCCAGCAACTGTAAGACACTCCATGATTTCATAGACTGCTGCCTATAAAACTGTGACCTGCCCTAAGCAAGAAGATGCATCCAGACTTCAGAGCAGTACAAACATTTTTTTTTTAATGTCAAGTGCATCTTAGAATGGTTAGAATAGCCACACACTCCTGGAGTTACAACCTACAAGAACTCGAAATGTGTGTTCTAGGCTCTGAAATAGCAATAGCTTTTCAAATTGCACTTTCACATTTAAGAGAAAAGTCCACCATTCTTTAAAATTTAAAAAAAAAAGTCATCAATAAGTTCTTTTCTTACTTTAAATCAATTCTTTAGTATGTTCCACGATTATTTGCTTTTTACAAATGTTTATCTCAAAACAATGTTTTCAGGCCTGAGGTTAGCACACAGCTGCCTTGTGAGGTTTGCAGTTACTTCCAGCCATCCGGGATTTGTAAGAGCCCCCTTGACCATTGTATATTTTCCTTGGCAATACATCTTGCTTCTTCTGAAAGCAAGTCCACATAAGAGTAGATTTTTTAACATGGTCCATGTGAATGGCTAATCATTTCTCTTGCACAGATTTTTGCTATTTAAAATATCCTGATATTTATAGCTATTTCTTCCCTTGCTCTACATACATTCTCAATTTTTCAACCCAGAAATATTTTACATTTCTTGAGAAACTGGGACTCTCCTTTCTGTATGTCCTATTAATTGTCAGCATCTGGACACATTTCTCACCTCTGTGTACAGGGACCTTTATCTGGGCTCTGCCACATACAGAGGTGAGAAGGGCTGCTGCGTCACCCTGCTAACCACATCCAGCTCGAGGTGTCTCTTTGACCCTGGAGATTCTTTATTGTTTTGACAGCTTGGAAAATGAGCTCCTCAAACTGTGATACTATCCTCCAGAAGGAAGTAAAGAAGGAAGGAAGGAAGGAAGGAAGGAAGGAAGGAAGGAAGGAAGGAAGGAAGGAAGGAAGGAAGGAAGGAAGGAAGGAAGGAAGGAAGGAAGGAAGGAAGGAAGGAAGGAAGGAAGGAAGGAAAGAGAGGGACGGAGGGAGGAGGGGGAAGAGGGGAAGGAGGGAAGGGGAAGTGGAGGGAGGAGAATGAAAAAAGAAAGAAACAAAATAATCACATTACTAAATTGTCAAACACATGTAAACCAAAATCACATTGCCCTTCACAGTGAGGGGGAACAGACACAATTATTTGCTAGTCATATCTGCCGCATGAAAGTGCAGGGTCTGGATCTTAGCAGTGTTTTCCAAACTCCCGTGAGCAATGGAATGGACCTCCTTTGGTAGGTATTTATTGCATGCTTACTTCACACTGATTATTGAGTAACTAATAATACATTCACCCCACATGCCAGGTCCTTTAGGTTTCTAAGAAAGCCTAATCTCAGTTTTTCTCTTGGCCTTTGAGTCTGCCTTTCCCCAAACCCTTGGGCTCTCTCCAGGACAGTTTCCTTGCTCTACCTCCATGCACAGTACCATCAGAAGAGTAGTATTGCCCCCTCAGATAATGATGATACAAATAATAAGAGCCAAATTTGTTCCTAATGTTCTTTTCTGTGTATGTTAAGCTTTAGAATCAGTCAGTTAGTGGGAACTACAAATTGAGCACATACTTGCAGATAAGTAAATCACCCCATTGCCAGCAATAATACACCCAGGCTCTCTCCCTGCCCTGCCCCAAGCCGCTGACCCAGCAGGACTCAGAGCAGAAGAGAAAGGCTGATGGCAGAGGAGGCTGAGATCACCAGTCAGCGCCCAGCAGCTGATGCCTGGGCACTCTGACCCTTGCAACAGAGCTGAAATGAATTTTTCTGATGTCTGAAGTAGAGGTGTGAGTTTTATTGAGTATTCCACAAAAGCAAAGGAGAATTTCTTTCTCACCTGCTGTGAACCTTCAAAGATTGGATAGAACAGTGTTTGCAGTATGTTCCCTGCCTACCTTTCCATTGCAAGGAGGAAGCTTTGCCTAAGATCTATAACAAGCTATTATATATAACTAAGCAGTCAGCAGTGGGAAATGAGATGTCTCAGAAACACCCTCATTACTAATACATTTGGCACCTGCCATAGGGTAAAGGTCCTAGATCCAGGAGGCAATGCAGGCGAAATGAACAACAAACTCAATGTCTCTATTTGTATGTCTATGTCCCGCCTCCCCATCCCTCGTGTAACTGTGTATCTGTGTGTTTGTACTGAATCTTTGGGACAAGGACTCATCCTAGCTGGTGCATCGAGGGTGGGGAAGAGCCTGGCCTCTCCCTCACTAGAGATTGATCAGACTTTTGAAGCTTCAGCTCCTGATGGCAGATGGAGCTGAAGCTTCATATTCCATATTCCATCCAGTGTCAAAGCACCATCCTGTGTCATTAGCCCAGGGTGCCTAATTATCTGGAGAAGTAATGTATACTTATATATACACATACATGCACATGTACATGCCTATATAAAGAAGGTATCCAGCCATGTAATATGAAAAATAGAGCATTTATTGGAGAAGATACAAGGAACATTGTACATAGGATAATGATGCCTCAGTCCCCTTCAAAGTAGGAACCTTGAGACCTCACACAGTTCCAGTTGCCATCAGCTGCCCTGTCATTTTTCCTGAAACCCATCAACAGTCTGAAATCTCTTCCCTTTCAAAGGGAACAAAATCCAGAAGTTGCAGAGCAACAAATCTGGGCTGCAGAGGGGCTGAGTAACCTGGATGATTTGATGTTTCACCAGAAACTCTGCACAAGATGTGATGCATGAGTGGATTCATTGGCATGATGAAACTGTCAGTATCTGCACCGCTAGTTGTGGCCTTCTGAATCATATGAATAGTTTCCACAGAGGAATGTTCAAGTTTAACATAAAATCTGATATAGATTTGTTGCTCTACTCACTCAGTCTTTTGAATACCATGGCCACACAATACACGTGCTCACTCAATGGTGTCTACTGCCCCCCACTGACTAGGACAGCAAAGTCATCATTGTTTACGCATGCGCATTCCAGTCCTCTCTCCTTGGCTACCAGGTTACATCGATGTTGCACTAACCGTTCTCATTATATTATAAATGGTTGGATTTTTTCCAGACAGACTTCATATGTGTATATACCTAAATAATATATTTATTATAATGCATAATGCTCATGAACCCCAGGAATCCAAGAAATCCATCATCATGCCTTGGCAAGAGTTTGGCAAGTGGGACTGAAAGGGAGGTGACTCATGAATTTCCCCAGCGACTTTTGGAGAATCTCAGTTTGCAGGGCGACCCAAGCCCCAGAGTTGGATTCTCCTGTAAAGCTGGATTCAGCTGTAAAGCCTGGCTTCACTAGAGCCAAAACCCCAAGCAGCAGAACCCAGTGGAGCTTCCAGAGCTTGTCTGGACATTATTTGTGTGTCACCTTTGCTCACTACAGGTGAGCATGTGCCCTGAAACCCCCTCCAAAAATGAGGCTCTTTGGGAGCTCCCTCAGTCTCCTCAGTCCTACTGTCTTGTCTTTAGAAGGTGATTTGAGAATCAAGAGCACAAACAGGTTCCTCTGTAACTTGATGAACTGACCGGTGGGGTGTCATCAAAGAACAACAACCCCAAAGGTGGGCAGAAGCCATGTGCACAAGAAGCTTGTAGCAGAGATGGAAAAGAAGTTTCTATGTGCAAAGGCTGTGAAGCCAACCGCCTCGGTTTGTGTTCAGCCTCTGCTACCTGCTGCGAGTCTTGATGGCACCTTTCCCCGCCTCCGCATCCGATGTGATGATAACAGGACCCACCCCGCAGGCTGTAGTGAGAAGTAGAAGTTTACACATGAAAAGCACATAGAACAGTGGATGGCAAGTAGAAAATGCAATAGAGCGGTGGTGGTTTTAGTAAAACATTGGAGCAAACCCAAAAGTCCAACAGCAGAAAAATGGCCAATAAATATACAGGACATGCATTCAGTGCAGCCATTTAAAGTAAAAATATGTATATTTCAAAATTAAGTACAAAACTATTGGAAAACAAGATAATTATCTCTTGCCTAAGACTATATAGCAACATAGAAAACAATTATAATGCTTGTTTTTTAAAGCATAACAAACTTTATTACGGAATAACAATCAATGGACATAAAAGCATAAATCAAGATCTGCAGGGGGGAAAATACAGACAAATATTTAAACATTTTTGAGATGATAAAATTAGAGGAGTTATTTTCTTTGCTTTAGAGTTTATGTGCGGTAATGTTTGTTTAATGAAGATGATTCAAGATGGTCCTATAAAACTTTTGTGTTGACGACAGTTACTATAATGTGAATCTTAACCCAGTCCTGATGTGTCCCAGGGATGAACCATGGACCTGTGATAGCTGGTGTAATTGGAGCCCAGAAGCCGCAATATGATATCTGGGGCAACACTGTCAACGTGGCCAGTAGGATGGACAGCACTGGAGTCCTGGACAAAATACAGGTAGCTCAGTCTGCACTGTCACCATGGGCCATGTCTGTCCCCCAGGGAGCCGTGAAGAATATAATAATTATTATCTTTTATATATGTAGTAAATATTAAAACAAAAGAATGAACCTTGAAATTTATTTCAAACTTGAAAAAAAAACTTTGAAACCCTTGGAAAAAACCTGAAATTTACTTAAATCTTTTTATTGGGGAAATGTTTATTTGTTTCTGCATTAACTGTTAACAACAATAAAAAGTGTAATGATATAAAGGTCATGGCAGTTGTGAAAGTAAGTGATCACAACAACCAGCGTGCAGTTAGGGCAGCCCGAGCAGGAGGCACAGGACAAGAGCCCTTCTCGTCTCTTCCTGCTCCCCACCCAACACACATGGAAAGGGCTTTGCAAAGGAGAAGGCCTCTGTAACCAAAACCAGACCTAACCCCAGCCTTCCTTTCCCTGGGGGCTGAAATGGGAGGACGAAGGTAGGGGTCGCTAGGGAGAGGGATGGGATTGAGGGTGATATGGCATGTCGGTGCTCAATTGGACTAGAATGGGATTTGGAGATCTAGAAATAACTGGAAAGGTCTGGAAGCCCCACAAGGGAGAGAAAAGGAAGACCTGACAAATGAAAAACAGAGGTGAGTGCATGCACTGTTTGGGCACCTGGCCAGACACGCAGAACAATTGAGAGACTAACTTCTCCCAGTGAGAAGGATGTGTGTGCATGTGTGTGCATGTATGTCTCTGCTGAACTTTGTATCTGCCTTGCCCTCAAAAAGCAATGGCTCCGCATTCCACCCCAGCTGTGTTGTATTCGGCTAGATCAATCCCTGCCAAATGACAAATTTGTGTGAAAATCACTGGACACAAATGAGAGGATTTATCAGTTCTTAGTCCTCTTTAGAGAATCACATGAGTCTTGGTTCTGTGTGGATCAGCTTGGCCAAGGTCCTCAAATAACCTTGCTTCTTAAAATTGTAACAGAGACTTGGAGACTTCATAAATTCTGCAGAAGACCACCAGCTCCAGGATCACCAACGATGGGCTCGTCACTAAACCTCTGCCCACCCACGTGCCTGTCATGCTGCTCCACCTCACGTGCCCAGGACAATTTAATGTCTGTGGCCTTTTCTAAAGTGTATCTTTAGTTTCTGTGTGGAATGGCGCAAATATTACTTCTAAGGGTCCACCTCCTTCCAGTCAGATTATTAGCCAACAGGTATTGAAAAAGTAAGCAACATCCATCAAAGAGAAGGTAGAAAGAAGAAAGACAGTGATTGGGGGAGGAGAGGAAATATCCCGGTCTTCCCAGACACATTGGCCAAATGGGGCTTCTCGGACCGCGGGCTGGAACGGGGGTCACTGACTCTGGAGACAGCCCCGTTGCCCACCCTCAGCAGGAATGGCCTGCTACCTCGGCAGCCTAATCTCGGCATGCCCCGGTGGCACCACCGCCTCTAGGGCCTTCTGCATGCTCATCACTAGCCACCTCCAACGCCCAGGGAGGCTCCAGCCTCCTGCACCAGGGAGGGGCTTCTGTTTGAGGAGACAGCTATGCTCCTACCAAAGACACAGCTTCCCACCTGTAGGCTAACTTATGTCCGCACCACACACCTGGAACCATTCAGAATATGGTCATTTTAGTGTTTCACAGCTGTCTAAGCAGTCTTCAAGCACTTGGGATAAGTATCAAAAACCATTTAAGAGAAGCTAGTCAGGGAGAATGCTCCCTCCTGGAGGTCATAAATCCCCTGCAGGTCAACGTTTAAATGAGTTTGTTCCCGTGAGCGTCTAAGGGGATACCAGGTGTCGGGTGATTTAGTGCAGAACAGCCGCCCTGAGCCTCAGGGAGGAAAGAAGACCCCTTTCTGCAGGCCCTGCTGTGGTCACTCCAGCCAGCAGCTGCAGGTTTGCATCTGATCGGGTTTCCTTCCCCTGAGAGTGTGTGGGGCTCACTCTAGCTCCAGTAGCTTCCTATATCCACTTACATGAAAAAAAAGTACTAAGATGCCAGGAAAAATAAACATTGATGCAGAGACCATTAAAAACTTCTCCTGGGCCTCAGGAACATTGTTTTTATTAAAGAACATGCACTCCCACCACGCTTTCTGGACTGGAAGCCCAGACAACATAGAAGCCCACTGGCGCCCAGCCAGGCTTCCCCCAGACACAGGGGAATCATAGCTGGTATTAATCAGGTAGATGGCTCCTTCCTCCCCATGTCATGATAATTGCATGGTTGGGGCTACGGGTACCAACGGGATAGCTTGAGAATGCTGGCAGTGATGCACAGAACCAAAAAATAGTCAACTGCAAAATTAACCTCCAGGGCTCCAGAACATGGGTTTGTTCTCTGTGTGGAAGGTCAGAAGTCAAGTGCCCATGAGATTCTCTAATTCTAATTGCCCCTGAGAACTCCGATCACGAGAACATATTTGTCTTCTGAGTTTCTCATCTATGTGCGTGTTCTTTGGGTTCTTATCTGGAATCCAAGGCCTTTTCTGTGCTGCTGCCTTCATCCCCAAGATGTATTTGTCCTCCCAGGGACGTAGCATGAGGGTCTGTTTCCCCTCTTCTTTCCTGCTCCATTGTAGGGTTCCAAGGACCCACGTGTTGCCCGTGAGGTAGAGGCTGTCACTGGGTCACGTTGCAGGAAGACAGAGTGGCGCTTCTAGCTCTTTGCCCCCGCCGCTCTTTACAGGGATGCTTCAACCTTACTTTTGGGAAGCCCCGATGCTGTCCTGGGGTTTTGTAAACACAACTCTCCTATGGTTTTGATGTACTTCTGCCTCAGCCCCAGGACAGTTGCCCCCAAGGCCTCTCCAACCACCAAGCTCAAGGAGGCTGGCTCATTGCAGCCACCACTGTCCCCACCACGGTACCATCCCCGACAGTGCCCCCACTACAGACAAAATGAGGTAATAGCATTTCTGTGTTGTCTGCAAGCCTGCCAGCACGTGGGTGTGTCCCCCACATGCCATGCCAAGGTGGCTGGGGCCCCACAGGTGTCATGTCCATTTCCTCTGATAATGTGGGAGGAAATCCCTCTTCCTCCTGTGCTTTTGTACATGGTTCCAAAGCCACAGCAGCATCACCAGAGGTTTCTGAGAAAACAGCTCCCTCCCTCTCTGTTCAAAACCTAGGTTGTCCTGGGGGGCCTGGCTGGGGAACCATGTTCCCCACAGGCGGGTCTTCCTTTACCTCAGGAGCCGAGATCTCATAATGGTCAAGCCTGTGCATGTCAGCCATTCTCAGCTTGAGAAAATGTCTCTTGCAGGACAACACTCAAGCAGCGAAACCCAGGCAGGCCGGGGTCTCCTTTCCCAGACATTGGCCCCCAAGGGAACACGAGGCAGCCCCAAACTGAGACAGTGCATGGCCTCCTGAAGAGAGAAGTTTTTCTACCCAGCAGGTGTCACTGCCGTCTGACACAGCAGGACCTGACCAGGACAGGCAGCTGGTCTTGGCACTTTGTCAGGCTGCAAGGGAGAGGCTCACTCCTTCTGGCATTTCATGTCAATCAATGAAATGAGGAAACGCCTAAAGACCTGACTCGGTGTGGTGCCCACGCACAGGCCAGTGCAAATTCCTACTGTCTTTAGTTTTAGGTCATGTTATTCATGTGCATCAAACCAGACACTCATGGCCATTTGCAGAAGCTGACTGTGCATCTTCTCAGGATATCTTCTCCCATTTTTATTAAAATCTATTTTTAACATTATTTCCTGAAATGACATTCATGACAACTTGTGAACATCTGAAATCCCACCAGTCCAGCATATTTTGATTGGCTTTTGTTTTCAGGTCCCTTATGTGTGCGTACTTAATCTTCCCATGGTGGAAATCAGAGCAGGTTCCAGGCTCAGTTTTTTTGAGGGGGTAAAATGGTTCAACATTATTCCATCATCTCATCCATGATATTGATCAAGGTTGCATCAAAGTTTACTTAACCCTGAAGAGTGCTTGAATTTTAGGTGTTTCCAGTTTTTCACTATCACCACTAAATTAAACATTGTCCTTAATTTTTTTCTTCTCATGGAATAGCCTCCCATCGACTGATTTCTTAGGAATGGAATTAATGGGTCAAAGAACACAAACATTGCTTGGCCCTTTATCCTTGTAGTCAAATGAACTTTCAAAACGTTTTTGTTAATATCCTCACTGAACAGTTTTTGGGTGTCCATATGATTCTAGGTCACGGAGGAGACGAGCCTCATTCTGCAGACCCTGGGGTACACGTGCACGTGTCGGGGAATAATCAACGTGAAGGGAAAGGGGGACCTGAAGACGTACTTTGTGAACACAGAAATGTCAAGGTCCCTTTCCCAGAGCAACTTGGCTTCCTGAAGAGTCGTCTTCATTTTGGCAAGAAGACTGTGTTTTTAGGAAGGTCCGATGCACTTTCTGACTGCAACTTTTGTCCCTCGTTTTTGATGTGCGTGCGCTGTCCTGTCCTCTGGAGCCCCTGCAGACTCGTTCCTGTGACCCGGCGGCACACCGGTTGGTGTGCCAAGATCGCTCTGCCACTCGCACTGTGCTTACTCCGAAGGAAGAGGAAAAGGAGTGTGTGATAGAGAAGAGAAAAGTGTTCAGAGAACTAACATGGATGATGGAGATGAAACAAACAAAAATTCTTAAGGCAATAAAACTAGGGGGTGTATATTATCTTCTGGTGCATGTTCTTTTCTGGAAAATATGGTAGCTCGCCAACCGCATCTGCTAGTCCAATATTAAAACACACAGTATTTGTGACTAAGTTGATTCTGTCACCCCACATGGAATTCGACTGTGTTCACCCATGTGTCTCATTGCCAGTGGCTGTCCACGGGCCCCAGCTGGGATTAGTGGCTGTCACCTTGCTCTGTTGTGTCCTGCCAGCAGCACATAGTCACCCATCACCAGAATTAGTTCTCACAACCTAAGACCAGTTTTGTACCAAACGTGTCTGATGTTTTGATGCCCTTGTCTTTTGTAAGGTTAATTCATTAAAAGTTTTATGTACTTTGGTTTATAGTCTCTTAACTTCTCTCCCAATCCTGATACACACACCTTTCTTTCTCTGGTTTGCTCCAGAATGGAGGTTTGTCCTCCATTTATTCTCCCTGCTTCAGAAAACACTCTCTGGGAGCCAAGGCTGAGATATCCTTGAGTCATTCAGATCAAGAAAAATTCTGTAATGAAAATAATTGATTATGCAGCTCCCTAGAAAGAAAGGAAACTTGCTCTTCCATGTGTCATGGGGTCTGCTCTTCTTTTTGGCACCTCTAGAGAGCACTTTCAGGGAAGATATTTTAATAGGAAAAAGATTCTCTGCTAACAACAACACCCCTCTGTCCACACACTCTGGTCCACGCTACCATAATCCTGGAATTAGCTATCAGACACTGGCTGCATAAGAGTGACTGGGAGCTGACTATGTGAGTTAGCAATCACAGCAGTAGAATGAGCCACAAGATACCCCCAGGCCCCACAAGGCGTCTTTGGTGTCTGAGGTGGCATAAGAATGCACAGAACCCTGAAGATAGAAAACCTAGCAGATTCAATTGTAGTAAATTCAGCTCAAGTTCTGGGGTTTTTAATTCACGTAAAGAAGTCATACTCAGCGCAGTGGTGTGTAGTCTGGCATTTAAAAGCACACCTGCACTTGCCAGCCTTATTGGGCAAACCTATAAGGGTAACGGACCCCATGATCTCTTAGGAAGCAGCCCATTCCTGGGGTCTGGGACTTGAAGCCTGAGCCTTCGGTTTGATTGCTGGCTCTGATGTGTTCCTAGCCGTGTGACTTCGAACACATCTATGGGTTTTTCTGAGGAGTGTTTTCCTTGTGGGTAGTTCACGAGATCAGGCCTGGTTAAATGAGCTAATGACTGAGCCCGCCTGGCAGGTACGGGGCTCACCCCTGCCAGCACATTTGCGGCACAGCCATGACGGCCCTGCAGGGACCTGGGCTCACACGCAGTTGTTTTAGCACAAGCCTAGTGCTCGTGGGAACTAATAACTGGCCTTCGTCACCAGAGGAAGTGGGACTGCAGCATGACGTATTCAATTGTCTGCCTCAATCAGGAATTCTTTAATTATATATTCTCAATTTAGCCTTGGCCTTGATATGCCCAATCCTCCAAAAAGGTGACTGAAAGAAGAAAAAGAGTACAAGGGCATGTCTCGTCACTCCTAGTCAAAACCTGGACTAGGATACCCTTAGGTTTCAGTAACTTCCATCTGCCACAGTGAATCACTCTGACAATGACTGGCAGCCATACCTTTCGGGTCTTCCTCCCTTAGAGCCTACAGCACCCATCCCATGTCACCTGCCCTTAGTGGACACAGCTGGATATGTCCACCACACCCACAGCTGGATGTGTTCACCAAGTCCCCTCAAATGTGCTCCCCATCATGTGCTGAATTTGGTGAAAAGAACTCAAGAATGGCTTTTCCCTAAAGCTGTATCACCAGTCTTAACAATAGACTTAAAAACAATCAAAGTGATTATCAGAGTCCACCTTGCAAAGGTCTGTGCATTCATGGGTCCCTCAAAGTGTGGTCTCCCACCAGCAGCATCAGCATCACCTGGAAACTTGTTAGAAATGCAGAGTCTCAGGTCCCAACCCAGGCCTGCCAGGTCGGAAATCCTGCAGTGGGGCCCGGCACACTGCCTGTGGTGCTGCAGATACCGAGTTCTCCGGGTGAGTCTGATCCCCAGGCCCTGCATTTTACAAACGTGTGCAGAGAAGGTCCGGGGGTTTGCTCAAAGTTTCCCAGGTGACTGGTAACTAAGCACAGACTAGAATGGAAAACTGCCAGTTCCCTAAAATCTGAGCATGGCTCCTGGTCAACGTACCTGCATCTCCGGCAACTACAAACCTTCCTGTGAGCAAATCATGCAAATGAGGACTTGCAGTTCACTCTCATCAGTGCGTTGGCCTTGCACCATCAGCAGAAGGTATGAGTCTCCTCAAAGCCCTGCTCAACCTCTCATTTTGTAGGAAGCATTTTCTTCTAAAAATACATGAGTCCAGTGCTCTTAAAACTGTAGCAGGCCCTGGCTGGTGTGGCTCAGTGGGTTGAGTGTCAGTTTGTGAACCAAAGGGTCACCGGTTTGATTCCTGGTCTGGGCACGTGCCTGGGTTGTAGTCCTGGTCCCTGATTGGGGGCGTGCTAGAGGCAGCTGATTGATGTTTCTCTGGCACATTGATATTTCTGTCCCTTTCTTTCTCCCTCCCTTCCCCTCTCTCTAAAAATAAATAAGCTGCAGTGGTTTTAATACATCTGTTTACAAATGTCTGTGTTGTTGAAAATCATCCCTGTTAGTCTCTTTACTAAAGATAGTGACCACTCTGCTTTCCAAGAAACATTGACTAAAGGTGGAAATGTGATAACTAAAACAAAAATTTTTCATATGCTTCTCTTTGATAAGATGACTAATGGTCATTCATGGATTGACTTTAAGTTGTAAAAGTCGAGATGCCAAGAGACATTTATGTCTATGAAAAATGAGATCTTTGAAACCTGGTTCCATTCAAGTCTTGCTTTTTAGAAGTAGTAGAAAGTTAAGGGAGTACTTACTTAAGTAAAATAATTTAGTTTGCCATTAATTTATGGCAGTTTACTTTCCGATGAAGTCATTTCTTGGAGATGCCTTGCCTTCCATGGTAATCAAAATTGAAGAAAGAATAATTTTTAAAAGTTTCCATAACCCTAACTTTATATATTTTCTATTGTTATTATAAACATGGTTTAATTTACCCAAAGGCATTCCAAATAAACTTCTGCTATTTGTTTGGAAAAAATAAATAAAGGGCACCTATAGTGAAAAAAAATTTTTTCAAAAGAATAAAGAAATATTTAGGAGTCACTCGGCCTTGAAATTACCAGCACTTTAAGTGTCATGTATCTTTAGGGAGCCAAAATAATAAAACCAGCAATAGAGGAATCAACTTTGAAATTAATTAGATCACCTGCCGATTAACTGCTATCTGTGGGAAATTTATTCACAATAGGTAAGGGATCATTTCCTTCAAGGATCCATTCATTAAAAATACAGCCGATCTCTTAATACTTGAATAAGTTCCAAATCATCTACAAAACAAACATTTCCAACTTAGGTTAAACGCAGCTGCTTCTAAAAAGAAAGCTGTTCAAAGTGACAATCATAGCCCCTGTAGACCTGTATTCTGACCTACTACAGTGGCTCCCTGATTCCCATACCAGTTCTTCAAGCTTTGGAATCCCCGCTCTGCTGATGAGCTAATGTGGCCTCCGACAGGTGACATCAATTCCCTACACCCCCCGGCTAGAAAATGGGAAGCCAGAGTAGTACCCAAGTCTGTGGAACACTCAAGTCCAGCCTCTCCCCGTGACCTGTGACTGCTTCTCCCCTGAGGAGTGACATGGGCATTGCTGGCCACCAAGGCCACTGAACCCTTCTAGAACTTTTAACCTCAATTGTGCAAAGTTCTTGGTGACTCAGATCTCTTGGTGGGATGGGGGGCTAGCAGGGAGGGGGGGAAGTGCTGTGGCATCTGGAGTTCAATTGTGCCAAGAGGCAATTTCATCATATCTCCTCTTGGAGAAAGGGAGGCAGAAGTATCAGGAAGTGGTGGTTTCCGGAACTGTTAAGTAACAGCACACTGCTCCCGTGAGCGCCTCCCCCAGGAACACTGTGAACACCATGGGAGAAGTCAACCCAACCACTATCAGGTGAGAACAAAGTTTTCGTTTTATTCAGGTGCTCACAGTGGATCAGTCTCCAGCATCATTTCCTCTGAAATAATTTCAGGTGTCACACGAGATGATCATTCTAAGTATTACAGGCGTTTGGCCAGATTCTTCCCCAAGGCAACCTGAGGAAGGGGGGCTACTGTGCCATCCGTCCCACTGCCAAGGCCCAAGAGCCCATGTCAGTCAGGCTGGCTCCTAGAGTCCACGAAAGGGAAATCAGGCCTGTGTGCCACCCCTCAGTGAACTTCACTTGCCAGCACTCACTTCGGGCCAGAGGGAGGATGTCAGGCTGGGGAAATGTGCCCAAAGCCTGGCTCCTTGATGCTAGGGATGTCATTCTTCCTGTAGAAGTCGGCTTTCACGTGGTTGGCGCGGCCGTGGTCCCGGTTCAGTGGCTCCACTGGCTGGTGGATGCGGCGGCCGTAGACAGAGGACGTCAGCACCCCAACGGGCCGCTCCCACTCCTGTCGGGGCATCAGAACACTCAGGTGGGCACACACCCGCGTCATCAGCCTGGCTCGCCCATCCCTTGGCCTGAGATCTAGAAGCAGATTCTCCCTGCATCACTTGCATACCTGCATTGTATCTCCTTCTGGGCTTCTTGGGGGCTCTTCCACACTGACCCCAGGGGGACCTCTGAACTGTGTGAGACCCTGCCCTCCTGCCCACAGCCCTCTGGAGTCCTCAAGTCCTTCAGAGGAAAGGCAAAGATCTTGCCCTGGGCTCCAGGTTCCCTGTGACTTCGGGTTCATGATCTTCCTCCTTCCCCTCCCTTCTCACTGACCTGCTCCTGCCTGCCTTTCTTTTCTGTTTTTCCCCCACTTCTTTCTTTTCACAGGCGCACATCTGGCTGGGGGCTCCCTCATCTTCCCCAGCACCTCAAACTCCCCAAACCCTCCCTTGTCTCCCAGCCCCTTGCCTGTGTGGTTTCATCCCTGAAGCCCAGTGTCCCTAGAATTGTGACAGCCTGAACTCAGAGGTTAAGCAAAACTATCTATTAAAGGACTTCTTAGTTTTGCTTCCATTAAATTGTTAAATTCTATAAAAGAAGAGTCATCAAAATACACAGCAACATGACAGAATAGAGTGAGCTAGAGCAGTAGCATATTCTTAGCTTCTTGTCACAGATAGAGGAGAGCAGCACAAAGGAGAGGCACAGACACAAAATTAAATAAATGCACACACACAGTTAATCTATCAGTGCCTATTAATGTATTACCTCCTCGTTAACATGAAGTCCCAGGCTTTTTGCGTGTTCTCTGTCATCTCGGTGCAACTTCTGATTATATCCTGGATTCTTCTTAAAAACACAGTCATAGAGGGAAATGATCCCTGTCTTGGAATAACAAGAGTAAAAATGCTGTGGGTTTATTTGTGTGCTGAGATACTGATGCATCACAGAGCCCGGAAGCAATCTCTCCCCCTGAGGGAGACATATAGTGTCCCCATTACACGGAGGAGTGCTAGGGAAGGTCACCCCATGAGCAAAGCCAGTGGCCAGAGCAGAGAGGCCAGGCCCTAGCCAGCCACAGCAGGCTGTTGAGAGGCAGTGGGGCGGGGACATCTCCGTGGGTGCTTGTCCTCCACGTGTTACAGACCCTTCCTCCACAGAAATGCTCCTTTCACTCACTCCGACGCCATCGGACCTTAAAATAATAATAATGCACTCAATATGTTTTCTCCTTAATTTATACTCTTCTTGTATTTCTCAAATTTTCTACAATTAGCTTGTACTGCTTTGAAAAATCAACGCTACCTGAATACTAGGACAATATAAGCAATCAGAAGTTATTCTTTAAGTTGCTAGCCAGTAGGCAGTCTGTCTACATGCAAATCCCTCCCTAGAGAGAAGGAAATATTTTCTTCAATCATATGTAGTAGTTAAAGCAATTGTAACTCATATATATGTGTGTGTGTGTATTTGCTATATATTATATATGTCCATATGTACAATATACACATACATATGCAATATACATATAAAATACACACAGATCTGATGTACTATCCTGTTAACAGAACTATTATCTGTAATATCTCCAGTTTTTCATTCCAACTTTTTCTCCATACAAAAATGAATCTGCCTTGTTTGGTACCTAATAAAAGGAAAAGAAATCCATGTGTTAGCTGATCTTAAATCTTCACCTTGTAAGTCATTTATGCCAACCAAGTGCCAGCTGACTCAGATCTCCCAGCTACAAACCCAGTGCATCACCTCACTGGCATTTGGAGGCAAAGGGAGGCATTTCCGGGGTCGTGGGCTTTTATTACGCTCAGCGCCTCCTCCCAACCTTGGAAGCTGTGCTCTTCCGAAATAACTAGGGTAAGATTTTGAACAAACTGAGACCCAAGGTCCTTTATTTTCTCCTCCTTTTCAGACTATTTTAAATATAAATGAACTCCCACTGTACATTTAAACCAGTTAAAGTCTATGAGGAAGAAGGAAATAAGAGAAAGGAAATTAATACATTATTCCATAGTCATTGGGCAGGGACAATAAATACTATGTGCTAACCAAATACATTTCTGCTCCAAAACAAACAGAAGACATCACAATTAGTCTGGGGCCAGGTGACCAGCTCTGGCCAGGGGATGCGCGTGAAACCAATGAATGCCATCTTCTATTAAACAAACAAACAAACAAAGAAACCTCTTGCGGCCCTCCATGCACTCTCCCATTGCTAGTTGGGCAGCAAATTCAGAGGATCCAGTGAAAGACTGCAAAGTCCCAAAGATTGCCAGGTTTGGCGATAGTGGAGCTACTACAGAGCAGAAGCCTGGTTTCCCCAGTTACTACATTAAGGAACACCGCCAGGAGGAGTAACAGACGTGTTGGGCTGCATGTGAGAAACACACTTCCACCATGTCATGTTTATATGCTTACAATCAGTGGTGTGCTTGTGTTAACTACCTGCTTGCTGGAGAAAAAAAAGAAAAAAGATAAAAAAGAAAAACCCTGAAAGTCTTTTCTGATTTCTGTGGTGTAAATACTCCCATCATGGCCAATTTTAGGCTTCCTAGTGAATGCAGAGTGTTCAGAAGAGATGCTAACAATCGGCTCTCTGTTGTCATTATGAGCAGGCTCCAACACACCACCAGTTAGGACTCAGGGTTCAGGGTCTAGCTGTGTCCATGGCATAATAGCCCACCTTGCCCAGTACAGTAATTAGCCTATGACTGGGCTCTGCTCATTTCCTCTCTTCATGGGCCATAGCATTTACCTCTTTTTCATCTTGAGGCTTTCATATACTTGTCTGACTGCCTAGAGCTATGTGACCTACTTTTAAAACTGAAAGTTCCCAATGTGATTCAAAGTGTTCCCTCTGATTCTTAAGGGCCTCATTATACTTCTGATAAATCCAGCACTTCTTTGCAGTCTAGCACTGTAAGAAGCTTGATGAGCATGTTTTCATTAATTTTAAAATCGTTCAAAATTCTCTGAGAAGGAGTGCAGTTTGTCAAGGGCATCGTGTTCGCTTTTCAAAGAAGACAGTACTCAACTATCCTCTTTGGTTTCCTCTGTGGCAAAGGGTTCCGTTTCCTCTCTGGTGCATTAAGATCACAAGTTTTGGAAATTTTTATAACTTTTCCCATCATCTGAATATTTTATCAGTCTCATGAGAACCACATTGTCAGCAGTCTTGGTGAGGCCTCATTTTTATGACTTTATGTCCATCTGGTGTTGACAGTGGCTGCCCAAAGCAGAGCACTGGAACTTGTTGACTTTACCTTTGAGATGGAGCGAACAAACTCCTTCCTTGGGTCTTGTGTCTGCTTCGTCCTGGAGCTGTGCTCCGCTGAGTTCTGCATCAGTCTGTCTGCCCAACTTGGTGCTAGGGGGAGACTCCGTGATGCTGGGGCCAGTTTTCTTTCCTCTTCTATTAATAACAGCCCCCCAATTGCCCCCAGCAACTCATATCACAGGAAGAAAGGGCCATCTAAGGAGGCTGATGCTAGAATCTAATCTTACATTTTCCTCTCGGTCAACTATATTGGGGAAAATACTGTTCCTTTTCCTGTGTCATTTGCTTGTTGTACTCCTTAAAAGGGGATAATTTTGAAAAAATGTCTAAGATATTAAATGAGAAGAGCAAACTGTAAATATATATGAGGGGGACCGCCCCCAAAACAGAAATTACTTATAAAAAATTGTGTATTTAGTCTTACATGATTAAACTTCAGTCGCCTTCAAAGCACTCTCCATTTGATGCAATACACCTATCCAGATTTTTTTCCCCACTGCTCAAAGCAGTTTTTGAATTCATTGATTTTGACGCCTTTTAGTGCTTCTGCTGTTTGTTTTACTTCTTTCACATCAGCAAAATGTTTCCCTTCAAGGACTGTTTTCATCCATAGAAACCAAAAAAAAAAAAGTTGCTCTGGGCAAGATCAGGTGATGGGGGGGTACGGGGTCAAGCTGTTTTTGGTCAGAAACCTCTGAACACTCAGTGTGGTATGGACAGATGCAACAGTAAATTGCTCATCATGAAATGGGCAAATGCATTGAAAAAGCCTTAAAAAACAATTCACTGAAGCTGAATGCAGCCTCTTACAACAACGCCAGCTGGTACACTGATACAGATGGGTTCCTAAAACACTCACCTTGCAAGGGAAGCCTGTACAAGGGGACCGCCCTCCAGATGATGATTCTGGGTTTTGGGGGGAACCCTTTGTATATATCGTACATAGCTTTATGATCTTCCACTTTTGAACATACTTTCATAAAACAAAGTTAGACACATATCACCACATTCATATACACCCAATGGAAAGATGTATGCCACATGCTCACGTGGGTGGTTATGACTGGTAGGAACATTTATTCCCCACTCCTGGTGTTTCCTGGCATGAGGAAGGACTTTCACCAGAAGGATGGTCTCTTTCCTCACTCCTTCCTCTCCCTTCCCAGGATCTACCTGCCCGGGAGGAAGACATTCCATCCTGCTCCCCGGGCTTAAACTGGTCACTAAACAGTGAAAACACAGCTAACCCAGACGTGAGAGAAACACCACAGTCAACTCCCAATTTTGATCCCTGAGGAAGGGAGCAAGGCCAAGGGTAACCGCACAGCAGGTGATTCACAAAGAAACCTTTATTTAGTTTAAAAGGGTAATCCTGTAAATCAGTAACTTGTCTCTTTGCTTTAAAATGTTTGCATATCATTTATTCCTTCCTCATTCATTCATGCACGCCATGATATTTATACAGCACCAACATAAGACAGGCACTGTTTGGTTTGCTGAGGATAAAAATAATCCCTATCCTTGTGAGCTTATCTTTTATTGGGGGAAAACAATGACAAGATAACTAAGTAAAATATTTACTAGAATAGATGCTAATAGGTGCAAAGGGGGAAGAGAACAGGGAGAGAGGGAGAAAGTGTACGTTGGGGGTGGCCATGATTTCATTCGCCAGCACACATTTTGATTGGAAGGCACATGGGTGCAAGAGTCTGCATGACACCAGAGAAAAACTTTCCTAGATTTTAACAGGTAAAGCAGCAACAGAACGGCAGCTTACCTGTCCTCCACAGCCCCTAGGAGTGGCCGAGTGTGTGTGGCAGATGTGCTAAGGGGGAAGAGGCAGCATACAGAAGGGGCTGGGGGGAGCTCTCATCGCATACTTCCTGTATCCTAGACACTGGCACAGCACCCCCAGAGATTCCCTTTTGAACCTTTGGACAGTCAACACACATCATTATATTTACAAAGTGCTTGGCAGCATTTGGGAAGAGAAGTTCAGTCATCAGGAGGGGAAAGAAACTGTTGGCCCCTACCCTCTGTGTCCCCACCACATACCTAGAAGGAAAGTCGGCTAATCCCACCAAAACTAAATTGCAAAGAAACTTTCTAAGCAAAGTTTCACTTAAAACAGAGCTAATCCACAATTCACCATAGCATGAGAGAAAGCATATTCTAAAACCACTCCAAGATTATTTTTTTTAATATCGCTTTTAGACTGAGAAATTTAATCAAACCCTTCATAAAAGGCCATTCTCCTCTGACTTACCTTTTCCACTTCATGAGCAGAAATGTTGCACAAGGCAAGAAAAAAAAGTAATTTAAAAACATCATTGAACTGAATTTACTTTGCTGCCCCTGGATAACATTTTATAGGAAAAGCCCATGCAGCTAGAGCCCCCTAGGGAGCAGGAGAGGGGTTGATGGCATTGTAGTTGGCAGCTTGAGATGACAAATCTGCCTTTAGACCAGGGCATTACTGGGGTTTTGAATACATATGCTGCATTGATAGAGCTTTACCTTTGGGCTCCCTATGCCAGAGGGGGTTTGAACCCACCAGATTAACGCTCAGATTGCCTGCCTCACTGCATTAATCTCAGACAGCAGATGAGGTGGGGGATATGACACTGGCCCCTGGAACTAACCTTCAGTGAAAGAAAACTCTAATAATCACCAACAAAAACAAACAATGATTATAACAGTTCTACTTACACTGGGCTTACTATATGCCACTCTTTACCATTAATTAAATTTGTTCTCATAAGAACCCCTAGCACTCAGTACTGTTTGATCTGCTTCTTAGATGGGCAAAATGAGATGATGTGTTTGTGATTCGGGCATTCCACACAGCTAGTAACATGAACCCATATTTCTACCCAGATTCCATGGCCGTGGTACCTTAAGTCATTATCACTAAGTGTGTTACATGCTAATTGACCTAAGAGCTCATTCCGCAATGTTTTTTCTCGGCTTTGGAATTATTTACAACAAATTTAGGAGCAGCTGGGTACTCCGCAAACCTGTGATACAGTTCACCCTATTTAGTCCAAATGACCTCAAGGTCAGAGAATCAGTTTCTGGAGTCCTGCAGCTGATTAACTGCCAGTTCAGATAATCTCCAAGAGGATTTTACTTCGATGTTAGTATTCCTATTGCATCATTTTCTTTACGTGACACTAAAGACTTCAGGATTTGAATTTGCCTGTGCCCCTGCTATCAAAACTGCACAGTCGATTTTAAGTCTTAAGATTTAAGATTTTCAGACTTAAAGTCGACTGTGTATTACTTTGCTCTAGGACTCACCCCAAACTTCCAGAGGCAGTAATACATCAAAGGAGGGGTTGGCAAGTGTTTTCTGGAAAGGGATAGAGAGTCACTATTATAGGCTTTCAGGTCACATGGTCTCTGCTGATACTACTCAACTCTGGGAGCTAGCATAGACAGTACTAAACCAATGGGCCTGTGGCTCTGTTCTAATAAAACTTCATTAAAACAGGCGGCCGGCCATATTTGGCCCAGAGGTCTTCGGGTGCTGACCTCTGCAATAAAGGGCAAACTTCTTGACTACTCCTAATGTCCTTCAAAGTACGGATCGCAGGTCACCTAAAACCTTGGGTGTCTTACTGCCCATTAATTAATTCTGCCCTAGAAAGGTGGAGCCACAATATCAGATTGGTGAAGTTAGGAAAAATAAACTGGGCCTGTCAGACTCAACTCTACTCCTTTTCCTTTGGTAGTGCCTGGTCTACAGGCGGTAGGGGTTCTGCTTGGCCTTTTCTGGGGCTCATAGCTGTGGTGGTGGGTAAATCTGCCCAATTCTGAGCTTAACGTCCCCAAACCCATTTGCACAAAGTTCCTAGTAGTATCCTGCAATATGGCTTTTATCTTTGATAAATATGTATCTTGGCCCCTATCTGCTTAGTATTTCATCTTATTTCCCAATAGTTTCAAGGTGGTAATTAATAAGACCTCTCAAAGATACACATAAAATGATGTATTATAAATGTCTTCATATATAAATAAGCCAAAATTTATATTCTCTCAATAAACCAATATAGGCCAACTTAAAACAGTGAGACTCCTTGCTTTTTTGGCTGCTTCTCTCATGCTGTACATTAATGCTATGCATGAATCATAAATTAATTGGCAATGATATAGATTTTACATACTTAAAATGTAAAGTTCATTTAACAAATGAAATTATTTACAGGTACAAATTCTTTCAAGACATATTGCTTATAGGAGGAAAAAAATATGAGGTCCATGGTGATAACGAGGTTAAGAATTATTGTTCTTCTGTCTCAGTACCTGGTGGATATTGAAGCCTAGGACAGTCAGTAAACAGGGTGGCAAAGAGAGATACACTGCACAGGTCCTCTTTCTTGTCTTGTCCTTTTGTCCTTCCACATTGCTCAAAGCCAAGCAGAGAGGTGCTAACAGATAAAAGAGATCTCCTGGCTGAAGTTTATGTGTTAATTTGCTCAGGCTGCCAAAGTCAAGTACCTAGACTGGGGCGGCTTAACAACAGAAATATATTGTGTCACAGTTCTGGTGGCCAGAACTCTGAGATGGAAGTGTTGGCAGGGTTGGTTCCTCCTGGGGCTGTGAGAATGAATCTGTTCCATTCCTCTTTCCATGTAGAAGGCTGTCTTCTCCCCATCTATTCACATCATCTTCCTTCTATGCATCCCACTGTGTGTCCAGATCTCCCCCTTTTTATAGGGACACAAGTCATACTGAATTAGGCCCATCCTAATGACCTCGCTTTAATTTGATTGCCTGTCTCCAAATAAGGTCACATCCTGAGGTGCTGGGGATTAGGACTCTAATGAGAATTTTAGGGGGACACAATTCAATCCATAACAATTGTCTAAACTGGAAACTATTGGTTCTCTTTGTAAGGCTAAGCTCCTAACAATGTGAGTTCTCTTATATTTCAGGCAAGTACTCAAGTATGTGCTGTTCTGATCTGAGTGGTGATTCTTTTGTGCTCCATGGACTGCGGGCAGGAAGGAGCCAAAGGAGGAATGTTTTGTGGGAACACATTGTACATCCTGAGGGAAAGCCGTCCTTCCTCCCAGGCTTTGATTAACCAGTACTCTCTGGGCCACTCATTATCGCTGTAGGATGAGCATTCCCCATCAATGTGCCTTTTTAATCACGATGTTCCTGCACCCAGAGCTGCAAGACACTGCAGACATTTAGGGAAAACAGCCAAAAGAAAAGAATAAACTACCCCCGACAAGTTCTGATTTGTTTCATTTTCTTTGGTTTCTCTTCCTCCTTTAGCTGCATGGTGGTCTTCACAGGCCCGCAGGAACTTCCCGTGGCTCAAGGGCCTGGTGGGACGAGGCCTGACTCTGAAGAGCGCTCCCAGCCTCACTCTCGTCCTTGTCTTCAGTTTGCAGGTGCTCTGGGCCGGCAGGGCAGTGGCTGCGGGAGGACTTTCAGGCAGTGGCTGTTCCGTGGCTACCCCGGGCCTTTGACAGACAGTCCCCAGAGAGGGCCATGCCCCCTCCCGCCGCGCAGCCCCGGCGACAGGGAGCCCTCCTCCAGATCCTGGGCAGAGAGTCACCGGGCTGTTCCCGGTTGTGGTGGTGGTGGTGGTGGTGGTGGTGGTGGTAGTAGCATTGGAAACTCAGTGGCCCTCCCGTTCTCCTCTGATGAGGAATCGGCCCTCACTTCAAATGGCGCCGAACCGCCTGCTGAACAACACCCCACTCCGACTCGCTCGTCGTCTTCCCTAACCCCTGTCCCCGCTGAACAGAATACCCCGGGCTCCACCCCTGCCAACTCTCTCTGGAGACGGGGGTATACCTTATTCTGATGGCCCTGGCGGCAGCACTTTCAGTCTCCCCAGTACGGGCCCCTCCCCTCCTGTGCAGACCCGCCCCCAAAGTCCTACCCCAGAAATGCTGGGCGGTGATGCACCGCCCCCCGGCCTTCTCCCCGGCAGAGTAGACGGGTCCCACTGCCCCCACCCCGTCCGGCCTTGAGGTCCCCTCTCCCTGTCCCCTCCCGGGTCACCGCTTTGCACAGCCGCGGCGCACCTTGCACTGGCGATAGTAGTAGCTGTGCTCCTTGGGATCCTGGCGCCGCGGCGGGACATAGCTGAAGGCGGACTGCGCCGAAATGGGCAGCGGCCGGGACCTGCTACGCAGCGTGGCGGCGGTGATCTCCTCCTCCTGGTCTTCCTCCATGCTGCCCGCGTCCAGAGCCCCTGCGGCTGTTTTGCTGCGTCCCGCCCGCTGGGGACCCAGTCCCTGGATGCGGGCCGCAGGCTGCCCCGCGCTGGCGTTAGGCTGTCGCCTGGCAACCGCGGCCTTCGGACGCCGGTTTGGGCTGAGAGACCCGGCGAGCCGGGAGCGGGGTCGACCCACTCTCTTCCCCTCCGGCCGGCTGGCCGCACCTGGGGTCCTTACGTGGTTGTTGGTCTGTGTGCGGATCCCGAGCTGCTAAAGCGGCGGCGTCGGGGTCCTGGGTGAGGGACGCCCATGTTATCAGCGCTTTTCAACCTGCTTACCTGATCCCACGCAGAATGGGCCCGTTCACTCAGAGGCCATTCGTTGGGCGTGATGGCCGAACACTAACGAAGGGCCAGAGCTGGAGATGCAGGCTTGAACCATGCAGTCCGGGTCCATGTGGAGCTTACAGGCCGGCATAAGACAGGGAATAAACGTGAAAAAAGACGAGTAAAGTACAGCTTTAAGTCTAGGGAGCAGCGCCGTCCAACAGGAACATCGTGAGAACCGTACAGGTAATTGAGAACTTTCTGTTAACCACACTAAGAAAGTCAAAAGACACAGGTAAAATGAATTGTAATAATACATTTATTTAACTCGATAGGTTCAAAACATCATTTCAACATGTGGCACTAGCCACATTTCAAGTGCTAGGTGGTCACATGTGGCTTTGGCCAGGGCCGGTGTAAAGCTTCTATGGATTAAATCAGCGTGATTTAACAAATCTGGCGAAACTCAGCTGCTAAGGGTGTGAGCTCTAGAGAACCACTGTGTACATAGTTACTGTTATCTTTCTATCTGAATGCTAGTTCAATAGATCTTTTTCCCTTGCTCGAAATTGATTGAGCTAATGGTCATGAGGGATGGATGTATAAACAAACATATTTTTAAGTAGCAGAAGGAAAACAGCCTGTCTTGTGTGTCCAACGAATTTAAAGAGCATCAATAGCTCAGGGTTATGAATGATGCTCCTGCAAGCCCAGATAACCTGCCTTCTACTGGTTTCCAAATCTCCTATCAGTGCTGATTGTCAGGGAGAATAGTAGCGTGACCCTGGCTCCCGGAAGAAGGGAACCGCTGCCTGTCCCCCAAACCTCATGGCAGTGGGCATGGGCAGTGGTTCATGGTGGGATTAGACCCACCATGCCTTTTTCCGGGCAAAATGCATGAATTATGTCGGCTGATTTAGAAACCTTGATTGCTATGAGGTTTTTCTAGTAGGCTGCCTCATTCGATTAATGGAGTCCTTATGGTTAATCCTTTTCAGCTACAGACTTATGAATCAAGACATATAATGTAATTAAATTTTGGTTTTGTTCACCTTGTTGATTTTGGAGTAAAAGTGAACACAATTTTAAATGACATGTAAAATAAAAATTCCCCAGTACGGATAACTTTAGCAATGAGCTCCACCACCCTGTAGGCACCAAGATTCCTCAGAGAAGGCTGACCCAGGTCTGGGGCAGGAAATGGTAAGTTGAGCCTGGAACACGCTGTTCTGCCAAGAAATTTTTAAAAACTTATTTCATGAGGTCTAAAGGCCAAAGGGGTCCCATCTGAAGGGTATCACATGTAAGTATAAAAAAGATAGTGGTAACAGATTGAAGTACACCAAATATAAAAATTTCATGAGTTCAAAAAATCCTAAAGGAAAAAAAAAATTGACCAGAGCACCAGAATCTTTATTTTTAAGATTAATACAGGAAAAGAAATATTTATCTTGTTTCCTTCTGTATAAACATTATTTAGGGTATACAAGCAGTCAATAGGAGAAATTTCTTCTTTATGGATGAATACAACGTAATAGAAGTATAAGAAATGGTAGAATTAGGAAATCATTTTTTAACACTTAGTAGAACAATGGATCTAGGCAACAACCATCAACAGGTGCTCAACCATTAGGTGAAAGGCGAATAGGGACTATGTAGTAGATGGATCATGCTGGTAACACAGAACTCACTGAGCAGACTTAATATCACTAAGAGGGGACAGACAGACATATGGTATGAAAACAAATACACAGTATCACATCCAAAGCATCCTTGTCAAAAAAATTTAAGCTGAGTCTCAACAAGCCTCTGGATCTACCTGTTTAACAGAAGATACTGAAGGTAGAGGAAGAAGTTTGATGATGCCAAATCAATAATGTGAGATATTTTACAGTGCAATTGATTTAATTTCTCCAAAAGGAAAAGAGAAAATCTAGATGAGGGAGGGGTGCATTTACAGACAGTTAAAAAATGCTTTTGATTTATCTTAGTCATCTACTAAGCTTTTGTACTACCAACTCTGTTATAATTTTCTTGAACTGGGAATTTTGTTCAGTTATCTTTCTACCCGTACTGCCAAATCATCAATGAAATTCTGGGTTCCAAACCCCCCCTCCCCAAATTATTTTTGAGACAGCATAGGGAACTCAGGAAATGATTATAGGGAATAATTATTAATTTTGTTTGTTGAAATAATGACAGAATAGAAGAATTTAAAAAGAAAAAATGTACTGACTATGGATGCATACTGAAGTATTTCCGATAAAAGGGTATGTTAGCTTAGATGTTTCTACAAACAGTCCAATAAAAAAGAAAACAAAAAGGAGATGAAACATGATTGGAAAATTTTAGCAATTTTTCATGCCAAATAAAGGATTCACATGGATTTATTATACTATTGTTTCTCCTCTTATGTGTGTTCAGAGTTTTCCATAATCAAAGTGACAGTAGAGTTATTAAGAGAGATTGTTTCTTGCAAACAACAGAACCCAAAATATCAGTTCAAGCCACAAACAGTGTGCTCTATATGCCTGAAAGTGTGACGGGGGCAGAAAGATAGATGGTTGGTTGTTTGTTCCAAGGGGAAATTACAAGTATATTAATGCAGACTTTCTTATGATGGAGCTCAACAGGAGAACAACAAGTTAGACATATGGACGGTTGCAGCAAGGGACAGGGCTCAACGGAGGAACCCAGAGACAGCCAACCAGTGAGGGAGAAGGGCGGATTGCGGTGAAATTGGATGGACTGGTTTGGAGAGCTCACAACAGAGCAAGTTTGCGTGCAAAAGGGTTAATGTTAGCCCTAGTCTGAGAAGCCAACGCTGGACCTATGGGATGTATATCCAAAACCCCCTTCTGTGAAGCTCTGCATTGAGTTGGAAATTAAGGCTACTTTTCTGTGTGAAAATGGCCCATGTGGTTCTGACCCTGTAGGCAACAGAGGGATGTCCCCTTCTTGTTGACAGGATTTCTTTTTTTTTCAGTCTACCACACTTACTATTTTAAATATTTACACTTGATTGTTCAATAGCCCTCAGGTGTAATGAGTCTATGCTACTGTAATCATATAGGTATCTGATAAACAGACTGAGAAGCTTGGCTCTAGGATTTCAAGGTTTCTCAGCATCACGTCCCTGATGCTGATTAACAAAGCATTTGCCACAGGTTCACGTGGAACCCCCAGGAGTCCTAACCAGTGAGTCGGTCGTGTTCCTCCTTATAGAGCGTACCTGACAGGCACACTCACCACGAGTTGTAATGATGTTTAGTTGAGAATGGAACACAATATATGTGCCAATAATAACAGCCCACAAGGTTTACTGAGCATTTACTCTTTCCCAGGTACTGGCCAACAGTGTACAAGGTGTGTCTCATTCACCCTCCTACACTAAGCGTTTAGACTCTGAGTGGGTCTGGGTGTGTTTCCAGCTTGAGGAAATCTCTGCTTTCAGAGGCTTCACCATCATAGACCCAGTACCCCTCCCTAAGACTTGTACACAAAGTCTTCCTGTGGGTGTAGCATTTTAGAAGGAACTGTTTTCTTATTTTCCCAGAACCTATCAAATATGCTGAATTCTGCCCCCTCCTATTTTCTTTCATCTAGCAGATGTTGACCAAGTCTCCATGTGCACCCAGGCGTACAAAGATATAGAAGGTCGGATCTTGGTCAGGGAACTCCTACTGCAGCAGAGCCTTCCTCACCATTGGTCTCTCCTGTCTAGGCCTGGTTCAGCTTCTGCTCTGTCTTTCCTCCCTCCTTCTCTCTCTCTCTCTCTCTCTCTCTCTCCCCCCTCTCCCCCTCTCCCCCTCACACACACACACTATTCAGCCCCTAACCTTTGCTGCCTCTTAGTGGCAGGCCTCAAGAATACATATCGCTGTGCTTCAGGGATCATGCTTGCAAGTAAAACAATTTTTTTTCACAAATTTTTCTTTCTCTGCTTTATTTTCCTTTGCTTTAACTTTTGAAAAAAAATACAGCAAGATTAAACCTTATTTGAAAACATTAATATATGTTAATCATGAGCTATCAGATTGTATATGTAATTCAACAAGCACAATCATCACTTTTTGCTCGTATAGGTAGACATTAAAATGTAACAACCTGAGAATTCAGTTTATAAGGATTTGACTTTATAACGTGACAGGCCTTGGCAAACTCATTCCAATGGGAGAAGTCACAAGTCTTATTTATTAGCCTAAATTATTTATAATATATACATATGCAAATGTTCAGGATTAGTGCCATTCAGGTCTCGCCTCCTTTCCTGTGACTACCCTGTGTGCTTTGCTCTGGACGCTCTGGCCACTGTTGCCTGAAATGCTCTCCCACCACACAGACGCTCCTTCCCCCCTCCCAAAATTCAGCTCACAAGTCATGTGGAGAAGCCTTCCACACTCCCCAGGGAGGCCTGGTCGTCTGCATTCCTAGTCTCATGCCTCAGGAGCTGGCTCAGCACAGTCATCACCTGCTCATTTATTTGTCCCCGCCCCCCCCACCCACCCGCTCAAGGCAGGGGCTCTTGTCTGCCTCCCTTGGGAGCTCTAGCATGTATTGGGTGCTCAGCATTGTCAAAGCTCCTTAGTGAACATTTGTTGAATGGAAGAAGCGATTAGGGAAGAGCCGAATGGGGCAAAGGCTCACCAGAGAATGTAACCAGAAGAGCGGAGGGAGGATGTCTGATTCCAATTAGAGCAACAGGAAAAAAGGGCACGATGGATGAGAGGGAGTTGGACAAATTGAAAAGGTGGAGGAAGAACATTAGGCTGTGCTTTTCCTTATCATTTATGTAATTTTTAAGCCGGTCATGACCTCTGGCTATTTGGTTGAGGCTGTCTCCTCTCTTTAAACTGTGAGATGTTTACTTCACAGCTCCAGGCTGTGTCACACCCAAGGGTGACCGGAGCCATGGGGAGAGGCACAGCACCCTGAGGTTGGCCCAGAGGCTGGGGAGCGATTGGCCAGGTCACCTGGGCACAGGGACACATCAGAATCCACAGCGCCTCTGTCCTTTTCACTCTCCATTTGCTCCCATCTCCTTCTGTCTCTGTCACCACAGGCATAAACTTTAAAGAGTGATCTTAGAGTTCATCCAGTCTCCATTTGCTATTCTAAACTGACTCAGAAAGGTTAAGTGAAGTACATGGCATGATGGGGTGACAATTCAGACCAACCAGTACTAGCTAACGTAGTCTTTGCTTACTCTGCTAGACAGCTCATGGTTTTACATTTATTAACTAACCCAATTTCCATTTCAATCTCTTATGGGTTGAATTGTGCCCCACTCCATACACTCAAAGCTAATTGAAGTCATAACCCCCAGTACCTGTGAATGTGATGTTATGTGGACATAGGGTCTTTGCAGGTTAAATCAAGGTAAAATGAGGTCATCAGGGTGGATTCTAAGCCTATATTGCTGTTTAAAAACATGGGCACACACAATGGGGGGATGGCCATGTGAACATGGAGGCAATTGAAGTTATGCTGCCACAAACCAAGGAATGCCTGGGGCCACCAAATTCGAAAGAGGCAAGGAAGGACCCTCCTCTAGAGACTTCAGAGGGCACACGGCCCTGTAGACACCTTGATTATGGACTTCTAGTCCACAGAACTTGGGGAAAATAAATTTGTGTTATTTTAAAACACCCAGTGTGTGGCACTTTGTTGGTGGCTGTCCCTGAAAACTATTTACTACCCCATTGTTATTTATGAGTATGTCAAGGAAACAGGCCCAAGGTCACTCACTCAGCAGCTGGTGAAGCTGGAACTCAAATCAGACTAGATTTTTAGCCACTAAAGTCTGTTGCTTCTCCAGACCAGATTTAAATCTCATTCACCACTTGAGGCATGAAATGCTAGGCAGGACATTCATCCTCTCTAAGCTGATTGAAGCAACACTTCAATCAGAAGTCCTGGACACTCACAAGTGTTAGGCTCAAGTGCTCAGCACAGGCTCGACACAGTGAGTGGGGAGCAAAGCGCTGCTGTCTCCTTGCTCAAGGTCGCAGCACTAGCTGCTGGAAGAATTCCATTGTCCAGCTCCAGAGCTCCTAAGAGGCCTGCCTCCTCCCAAACACGCTACCTAACCCTAATATGTTTTTTCATGTTTTTTTTACCTTTACTACAAAATGAAAATAAAAGCTCCCATACTAATACATTATTAACTAAAGGGTTATTTCTATATAATTCTGTAATTATAGCCGAAGGACTCTAGTCTGTTTTCCTCAATCCTCCCACTTACCATATTTTTCTTTCTCTAAAAAAATATAAAAGGACATGGGAGATAAAATTTCTTAATTATATTTGTTAGAAGAGGAAACAAAGGTCTCTAAACAGCATATTTTCAGTTAGCAGATAACTATTACAAGAAAAAAGATTTAAAAATAACTTACTCATTACATACTTTTATTATACATGATTAATTCTGTTTATTGTATAAAAATATTTATGATACTATTATTAAATAAAAATTAAAATTATTTTTAAATTTATCACCAATAATTCTATACATAGTATAAGGAAAACTACAGACCTTTTCCAGATCACAAGTCCATAAAGAAAGAGCAATTCTCACAAGTTACATTCTTTTTCTTATTCTGAATCCCATGAAAACACAAGTTCTTTCACAATACAAGTTCTGAAGACTATATTCCTTCTTGTTACCAATGAATGCCAGCATTTTGAGAAAATAGTTTCCTTTGTAAATATTCCACCAATTCAAGTCTTGATTTTAGCGTTTCAATTTCATAATAGGGTATCTGTAGAGGGAGGAAAATAAAATTCGTCTTACTCCTTCACAGTCTGAAATGCCCTTGGTTTTTTGGTTGCCTGTCCCTCCTGCCTTCCCCCATGGCGGAATGGCAGAATGTAAGCTCCTCAAGGGCAAAGATGACACTAGTTTATTCATCCTGTAGCCCCAGTGCCTACAACAGCACCTGGTGCACTATAAGGGGCTCAGCAAATACAAAGCAGAGCATGCAAAGAAAATTGGGACCCTTGGTAATGTCAGATTACGTTTAAAGGTGAACTTGACCTGGGAGCTGATGAATGACCACAGTCAGATACTCAGACTGGTAGAGACCAACAGGGTGGTGGAAGCAGCTGGACAAAGTGAGAAGGACCACAGAGAATGGAAGGAGGCCGGGGGAAAGGGAAGCAACTACTGGGGTCAGAGCAGAACGCCGAGCTGCCAGCGGACTACGGAGGGCCTGGAATGCTGAGACGTCCAGGAGCTCTGACTTTGTCCTGTAAGCAATAAACAGTAAGGGCTTCTGAACACATACTGGCATGGTTAGTTTTAGGAAAATTTATCTAGCAAAGTACAAAACGGAGTGGAACAAAGTAACCAGACAGGAAAGCAGAGGACAGCTTAGAGGACTGGGGAAGCTCCATGTCTACTCACTGTGGTTCCTCATATAAGACCTTCTTACATGATGTATGATGTAAAAACATATATGGCCTTAAACATTAAATGGTGATGAAGATACTGGTTTTAATGGGCTATCCCATCTATTCTTATTCATTAAATCAGGGGATCTTAAAACAGATATTCCAATAATTTTGTAATTGAACACCCAATAAAATAGGTAGATGATGAATTACAGGATTGTACATTTGAAATCTATGTAATTTTATTAACCAATGTCACTCCAATAAGTTCAATAAAAATTAAAAAATGCTCTTGACCTTAAGAAAATAATAAATAAAATATAAGCCTAATTAACAAAGTGGCCATTTAAATTACATGTAAGATTCTTGGTCCTTTGGGCTGGCAGATCACTTAGTAGCCTGAAAAAAGCAAATGTGAACAAGAAAGTGCTTCTGGGGAAAAAAGAAAGATGAAAGCATACCTGAACCACCTGATAGCCAAGTAAACGCAGGTGTCTTTGTTTAATAGCTTCCTTTCCCAGTAAGTGTTTGCTATTCAAACAAAATCTTTTTGGACCATCAATACAGAGTGCTACTCTGAAAAAAATCAAAGAGAAAGAAAGTCAATTTTGAAGACAAGCCAAATTATTTCTATGTTTTTAATTGCCAGAGTTTATTAGGTATTTGCTTATTCCTTTTTGCCAGTGCTATTTTCAAGTGGATAATGAATGGGTTGTCCTTTAATTTGTGGAGAAAGCATTCTCTTTTATTAATACTGAGGTTCATAAAATGTTACAAGTAATTTCCAAAACTGGTATGCCGCAAAATAGTGTTTTAATTGCCAGACTGTTTATTTTTTTCACTTTCTTAAGAACACAATTATTGTGAATTAACCTCAACAAGTTCTGTAACATTAACGAAAACAGTTTTCTTACCTTTTATGTACGTCTTCATCAAATGTAAATGGTAATACAAATCCTTCTTCATCTAATTTAATTTCAACATCTGGTGAGAGAAGAAAAGAAAAATTCTTTGTGTGATACCCTCACAAACACTATTGTCCTTTCCTCCTCATTCTGTTTTGAATTCTTCCACACTGCATTTACCAACTGGCTGAAGGCTGCAAAGTAACGACCACACCAGACAATGGTGAGAATTCCCGTTTAACCAGGTCTATGATCAACCAAGTCAGCCTTAAACTAAGGCAGCTCAGCTACACAAAAACAAGGAGTGGGTTCTCAGGTTATATGGGGTATAACAAGAGACATGCACACAACTTAACCCTTCAATCCAAACAGTAAAGCAAACCCTCAAGTTGAGCAATGTTAGACAACTATGCACATTGAACCTTTCATCGCTGGAGCTGCCAGAGCCACCAGGTAGGTAAAATATCCTGCACCCCAACATGTGGTCCCGAGGCATGGACAGACTCCTTCCTTCCCTCTGATGTCAGCCACCTCTTTTACAAAAGGAGCCCATAAAGAAGGGGAGTGGGATGTGGCCACCTGGAGCCTAGAAAACACTGTCCTCTTTGAGCTGATTTTCTTTCACTCATCAATTTTAAAAACTGAAAGGGCAGGAGGACTTAGACCCTCTAGTCAGTGCTGTCCAGGACTTTCACGATGATGGACATGTTTATATCTTAGTTGCCCAATATGGCAGCCATAAGCCATCTGTGGCTGCGCAATACTTGGAAATGTGGCTAATGCAACTTAAGAACTGAACTTTGAATTTTTTAAAACTATAATTATTTTAAATGTAAATAGTCATGTGTGCTAGAGTACTAGGCACCATCTAACAGCAGCTAACAACTACTAGGCACTTACTGTGCTCCAGGTGTTAGTCCACATTACTTCATATTGTCCTTGAGTCTTTGAGGTCACTATTCTCTCATTTAACAGAAAAAATCAAGCAGAAAAAGTTAAAAATTCTGCCCAAAGTCTTTCTGCTAGTAGAATGGCTAACACACGGGGACTCAACTCCAGATAATCTGGACTCTTAAGCCCTACTGCACGTCCTGGGTCCTGGTTCCAATTCACCTTTAGGGAAGGGCCAAGTCCATTTGCATTTCCAGACCTTCTACGGCTACTTAGTCTCAAATATTCCAAATGAGAATGCAGGGTGAGGTTGGGTAAACAACAACAACACTCCCTGTTACTCACCTATTGTGTAATAGTACGGTGTTAATACTTTTGAAGCAAAGTACAATCTTGCTCCTAAAAGGTCAATTAGTCCAATCATTACAGACTTATAGAGTTGAAAATCCACAGGTGTCTCCAGGGAACAGCAAGGAGTAAGAAATGATTTCACTTGATATTTAGGAAGACGTTTTGGACCCTACAAATCATATGTGCAAATATGAGGAAAAAAAATAAGATATAAAACTAACCAGATAATAAAATGAGTATATATTACATGAGCATAAAAGTCTGATCAAATTACTTTAAAGGCATGAATGATACTTTTTTAGGATTTGGGCAAATATTTTTGTCAAAATGACAATGCAAAATATTCTTGTTAATAGTTCAAGTGCAAGAGTTCAAAATATCTTTTACATGTGTTTTAAAATTAGTCACTGATCACCTCACAGAGAGAGAAGCAAGGAGGGAAGAAGGGAGGAAGGAAGGAAACAATGTTATGACAACTAGAGAAACATCTTTGGATCTTTGGAATTCTCAGAACTGTTTCAAGGGCCTTAAGAACACTCCACTGAAGTTTTAATACTGAAACATATGAAAGAGGTGACATTTCAATTTAGTAAGAAAAGGATGGCTGTGCGATAAATGGTGCTAGCAATTGGTTATCCACCTGGAAAAGAACTAAGTTACAGTTCTGCCACACAACACAGATGATCAATTCCAGGTGGGTTAAAGATCTAAATATAGTGAGGAAAATAATATTTTAAAAATTTAGTAAAACATTTATATTGCTCAAAAGTGGTAAAATATTCTTAAGCAGGATAGAAAACCTAGAAGCCATATTTAACTACAGGAAACTTAAAAATTTCTGTAGAGCAATGAGGCATTATAGACATGAAACCAAAAAAATTAAGAACTAAAAACCAGGAGAGAATATATGCAACATGCCTAATAGCTAAAATCTGTTTTCCAATGAGTTCTAGTGGAAAAAAGAAAAACGACCCAATAAACATTTGAAAACATGCTCAACTTCATGATTACTCATTAAAATACAATTTAAAAATGTCACTTGATATTCTTTTTTCAGAGTTGAATGAAAAATTAAACGGGTAAGGACACGGTGCAACAGAAGTGGGGGAGATGTGGCCATTTCCATCCCTTGCTGGGGAACTGTGATGAGTCCACAACTACCAGGGAAAAGGGTCTGCCAGTATTTACTGAAAATTAGTCCAGTAATTCCACCTTTAGGAATCTAGTCTCTAGATTAAAAAAGCACAAAGGCTCCAGTATGAAAGGATACACAAGGATGTTTATTACAGCATTATTGATAGCAATGAATATTGGAAAACCTGAAAGTCCAGCAATGGTGGAAGGGTAGGATAAATACCAGGAACTATGATGCCACTCTTAAAAAGAATGTGTTTTATCTTTATGTATTGCCCTGAGAAATGTCCATGATGTACTGCGCATAAAAGCAAACTGTACTTTGTCCCATTCCATGAAAATCTGTGTACATTTGGACATAAAAACTGCTGTTAACACTCTTCTCCTTCAGGGATGGAAGGAGGTTGGGGGTAACCATTATTTTTATTGTTGGTGCTAAAAATAGTATCTTTCCGTTCTTATACTTTATTCCCAAATGAGCTATGCTTAAATGTGGTTCAGCCAAGTACAAAGGCTCCGGCAGGGATGAGTGCACCTGAAGATGCTACTTCTAATTTTAAACCAAGTGTGAAATAACATTATGAGAGTGAATCTTCAGAGTACTTGATGGGACACACAAACTCGACCTCCACTGAAATCCCTGAGATGGGAGCCTTGGCTTAAAAAGGTACTCGGGGTGATTTAGGATGTGTTCAGTCCTGAATCAGACTGTCATACCCAACAGCTCTGGGCTAACACCCTCAGCACGACTCCCCAGGTCCTGGAGAGTCAAACACTGCAGCACTTGGTAAAACCTTCCAAGAAAACTTATACAGCAGGAAATGGGTCCTTCAAGGGCAAGAAAACAGGAGTAGAATCGATTTATCAGAGAAACGGCTATCTGGTGGCCACTAACTCCAAGTAAATGGGAAGTTCTGCGCTTTAATAAGGTTGAGGCAGATCAAAAGAGAAGGAACTGAAAAAAATGTCAGGGTGTTGGGAGAGGGAATAAAAGAAAACTACCCCCTTTACCTTATAGAAGGGACATTCTAGGATCGAGGTTAACAAAAGCTGGGTAAGTTGTGCTATGCTCAGTCTGTCCAAATATGCTTCCTCACCTGAAATAAAAAGCATCCCAGTCATAAATTTGAATTGATATATCTAATGAGAGAAAAGAATAGTAGGAATACACGCCAGTCATTTATTCACTCCAATAAGGTACTCTTAAATGACATTAAGGACAAAATCTTAGTTGAATTAGTGGAAACTTCTCGGAAATTGAGATTTTTGACGTACTTGGTAGCCTTCAATTAAGATGAATACCATCATCTCCAAAAAGAAAAAGTTCTACAGTTGTTCTCACAAATATTCTAACATGTTTCTGTTACTGTTATCATTGCCATCTCCACAGTCCCCCAAGAACACTGTTTCTCACCTGGGGTAGTAGAGTCTGTTTACCCCAAACTGTTTTCTCACTTGACCCAATGTCCTAGCATTTTTTTTTTTTTTTTTTTTTTGGTATTCATATACCAGAAACTGTTTTAAGGCTGCTCAACACAGAAGGGACATTGATTTTCTTCTATGAACAACAGTTGAATGTCTCCTGAGTGTCAGCTACTGGGGAAGGGGTAAATACTCTAGATTTCATCTATTCATTTGTTCATTACAAACAGGCTATCCTCCAAATGACCCCCTCCTTCTTCCTTATTCTAGCATTCTTTAATTCTGCATTTACACTACCAGCTGCGACTTCAGATGTCTTTAGTTTATTATGGAAGAAAAAATAAAGGTGAAGCATTGCTCAATGTAAAAGGTACATATGTGGCTTAAAAACATCACAAATTCAAAGGTTATTTTTTCTACTCTCAGAAGTTATAAACAACTCACCTTGCAGCTGTTGAAGAAAGTAAGGGCTGAATATTTTTGCCATAAAGTTGACTGGATGGCATTCAATAAGTGAACATGAATGGAGAAGTTTCAATAGTGTTTTGGGAGGAAAAGAACTGAAATGAGTGAATAATATATCTTCTAGCTTTCTAAATAAAGTAGAGGCATTTGGTGGCAAATAATTGAGTTTTCCAAATGGTTCAATCAACTCAGAAATCTGTGTAGGTGAAAATTTTTCTGAATGGCAAACAAAGGCTTCTGCCACTGCATTTAGGATGGGTTTTGAAAGGATCTGTTTTCCACAGCAGTACACCATGACTTTGCTGACAACCTCAGGATCCAGAGTGAGACAGTGTGACACTACATGCTGCTCCAGGGCTTTTATAAAAAATTTGTCATGGTGCCCAAAGTATATGAAAGCGTCTAAGACTTTCCCAAGTTCTTCATTTGTGAAATGAGGGATATGCCTCACAGCATATTTACCCAGTTTTATAACCAAAGGAAGTGCTTGAGTTTGATCGAGAACCACTAGTGCAGTGAACATTTGGCTTATCAATTTAGGACTCAGGTAGGAAACTATTGACAGAGAAAAGTTGTTTATCTTATTTAGAAATGTCTGGTGTTGGTCTACTTTTTCAGTACATGTCTGCAGTATTCTATAAAGTGCCACGATATCCCCAGGGATTAATTCTTCCAACTTTTCACCTTGCAGTTGATGTATAATAAGGTCTAGTGTCTCACAACCTGGACCTTGCAGTGTAAGCAGGCTTTCTGCAAGAACACAAAGACTGTGGGCTTCCAGGGCACCTGTTTTGAGACGATGTTGGCATTCTGCTACCAGGTTCAGTAACAAGCTACTTTGGGGATCCACAGACAACAGAGTCAGGGCTTGCAAAGCAGTCACCAAACCAGCGTTGGACAGATTTGAGGGTTCCTGTTCAAACTGAACACATAAAGCTTGAAAGACAGAATTCTCTAGTATTTCCTTTGGCAGCCTTTGATCACCATCTTTTTTAACAACTTCACAAATCCGTTGTAAGGCTCCTGCTGCCATAGAATCAGGTAAGGTTGGCAGTGTGCTTATAAAACTTAGCACTTCTTCTGATGTAGTGAAGTTGTTCAGTCTCCTGTAAAATACCTGTTCGTCCATCTTTTGGAGATTTTGTTCAATACTGTCCCAATCATGTACTTGAGAGAACACTGGCTCACCAACTGGATGAAGGTCATTTCCATTTTCTGAATGGAATTTTTTACAACAGGCATGATGGAACCTGGGCATGAAAGGCCCAGGTTGTAGTGAGCAGAACCATGGGCACAGACGCTCCTTCACGGCCTTGTGAACATGATTTACAGGCTGATTTTTCAGAGCCGCCAGAGCTCCATGTATCCGAAAATCAGGTAAATGACAAAGGTTTCTCCGCAAAGTAATTAAAGCCATGCCATCAGATTCTCAACTCTTGACTTATAACTAAATATAGGAATAAAAAACATGGTCAAATATATTGAAAATATGACTCATTCAACAACATCAATACTTATAAAACTAAGGTTAAGTACCCAACATAAGTGATTATTAAACATTTCCCACTGACATGTAAGTACCAAAAAGAACAGAGCCACTGCATCCTAAAGCTTAGAATAGTAGCTGGCATCTAACAATAATAATCGCTATCTTTGGCCAGGCACTGTTGTGCTTTATGTGTATTAAATTAATGCTCCTAACAGCCCGATGAACAAAGCACTTTTATCATCATTTCACAGGTGAGGACACTTAAGTACAAAGAGGTGATTTTATCCAGTTTACACAGCCAATTGAGAGGCAGAGTTGGTATTCAAGGACAGGCGCTCTAGACACAAACCGTCCCTCCATAATTTGGTTGATGGAAAGAAATGCGTTTAATTAAATGTATTTCCCATCGAAGGCTGGGAATCCCCGGATGCAGAGGGCCGATTACATTTAAGTTTTAGGGGAGACAAAAGTAACACCGATTTTCCACGAAGGGCGGGAGGGGAGGAGGTGTCAGTGCCCCTAAAGCTCGCGTTGTTGAAAGATCAACTGTACTCAAAAAGGAGACAGGGTCAAGTTGCCAAAATTTCTATAGGTCAACGTAAAGCAAAGATTTTTTTTAAAGTGCTTAAAAGGCCCAGAGGTTTCGGTTTCCCCTTGGGTCTGTGAATGAGGAAGGCAAGGGTCTGGCTTCGCAAAAGGCGAAAAAAAATAAATAAAATAAAAAGTAAAACAATGCAGGTCAATGAGGGGGTAGGGTGGACAGACTGTCCAGACCCAAACACCCCGCTGTGAGATTTAGGGACACAAATGTGCAAGACAGAGGGGATGGGACGCCCCGGAGATCGCGCGCCCTTCTCGGAATGAAAGCATCTCAGGGTTCGGGCGCCCTTTAACCCAGGGCCGAGTTCCTGCGCTCAAGCACCAGGCGGGCGCGGGACCCTAAGAGAACAGGCCAGGGTAGCACTGGCGCTTTAGCGACGCTGCGAGCCCAAAGACTCGAGCTCCGAGCCCGAGCAGACACCTACCAAGCTCCGCCGCCTAAGTTCCAAGCAGCTCCAGGAGGTACCAGAGCCTCGTGGGCCTCCGTAAGCACCGCCACTGCGGAGCGGTGCAACAAGGCGCAAGCGCGGGAGGCCGCGCCTTCGTCCGGCGCGCTGTGATTGGCCCAGCTCCCCTCCGAACTTTTTATTGGTCGTGATCTCGGGCTCCGAGCAAGCGTGCCTTGATAGGGAGCGCAGGCGCCGGAGTGAAAAACAGCAGTGCCCAGTTCTTCTCGGGCGTACTCTTCTGGACTTACACGGGTATGTATTTTGTGACCGCTGCACCTTTGTTTGGGCCGCGCTCCCAGCGCGGACCAAGGGGGAGGTGGCTCCGGGTCCGTGAGGGCACCGACTTCTGCGCCCTGGCGTTCCTACCCTTACCAGGAGACGGACTGCGCGAGGGGCCTGGCGCTCTTCCCGCCGCCTCCCAGGACCGTGGGCCCGGAGCTTGCAAGACATGAGCTGGTTTTGTCGGTATCCTTATTCTGAAACCTTTTCTAGTCGGCGGTAAAGGGCATAGTGGAGTCGCAGGGACGCGGAGTGGGTGTTGGGAACTGGCGCTGGAGACTCAGGAATGTTCGGATCGCGGACCTCGCCCGATGGGTTTTCCTGGTCCACTGAGGGCGCCGGGGAATCGCCTTTGAGAAACGTGGGGCGCAGTACCTGCTTTATAAGGTGGTCACAGGACGAAGAGGTTTGCTGCGTTCTCTGAAGCGCCTACACCTGTGCGAGGCTCGTAAAGTGTTCCAGATGGTGAGCTATAATAATAATCGGTGACGTTTCTGTCACTACACTTTCAGACTTCTCAGTGAGCCCTAAATGTGTAATGTCTTTATATATACTCATTTACACGTTCCTTTATTCCGTTAACTTATTGACCACCCACTGTATGCCAGGCGCTATTCTGTTCCCTAAGCATATTTCACGATTGTTAACATGTTCCCTAACATGATTCTTTTACTTTTTAATTTCTTTGTTGCTTAATTTGTACTTAAGATGTAACTGGCCGGAGGAGCATAAAAACGGTTGGTCACATGCCAAAGCCAAGATTTTGATTTGGGTTTCAGTTTAAATTTTTCCGTACATATTGACAGCCCCTCAGGTATGGACACTGTATGGGAAGTCTGTGAGTGTCCTTTATTTTATTACTGGTTTCTCTTCAGGAAAAATATGAGTACTAGTTAAGCGACTGAAGTGGATTAGAAATACTTACTTTCCATCGATACATATTAAAGTGCACATGCACTGCACTTACAGATAGTCGGTATAGAGTTAAATAATAAAAGGAATATTTGATTAAGTTTATTTCTAGTTTATTTAGCATTAGAATCAAGTACTAATGAAGACTCCTAAAATTTTATTGGAATTTTTACTTTTTCCTTTTTTTAAAGTCCAAGCAAAAAGGTACCTATGATTTATGGAGCACTTCTGTGTCACAGCCATTGCTCAGGTGCTTTGTTTCTGGCAAGTCTCTGACAGGAGGCATGTCTGTGATTATCCCTCTTTAAGGGTGTGGGAGCCGAGGCACAGATCCTTGGGCAGGCTCGCCTGCGTGTCTGCTGTTGTGAGTTAACCACCCTGGGTTGCAGCCCAGGTTGTCTGACCCCAGAGTGGTTTTTGAGCCATGGAATTAGAGCTTCATTTCTCTATTCTTCCTGGTTTGATAAGTTCTCTTTTTATGACTTCTTTCTTGAGAATTAATGCTAAAAAACCAATCCAGGGAAGTGTATTCTATTTTGCATGGATATTGTTGGAGTCTTTTTTTTTTTTTTAAGAATCAGTACCTGTGGGTTGTTACTACTTCATTAGAAAGAAAATCCTTTTCCCCCTTTTTCCTTTTTCAGTGTAACTGCTCCAGCTGTAACAAGCCTATGCTTGGAGGTGATGAGAAGGTTTTTGTTACTCTATGCTACACAGCAAGGACAGGCAAAGGCCATAGCAGAAGAAATATTGGAAAAGGCAGTTGCACATGGATTTTCTGCAGATCTTCACTGTATTAGTGAATCGGATAAGGTAATAGCTGTTATGTGGTTTTTGCTCTTTCATGCTTTGAAGATATTTTTGTTTGGGAGAGATGTTAAATGACAAAGTAGGACTTTAAATGCCCCCATAATCCTTTTTTTCTTAACACTCAGAAATTTACTTTATAAATTGTTCCAAGATTCCTGCCAGCTTTTTTTTTTTTTTTTTTTTTACATTTAAGTATCCATTTGAATTAGACTGAACTGATTATACTAGTCTCAAAAACTCAAACAAGTAATTATTCAACTAACATGAAACTAGTAGTTTCTGCCTTGTTTATCTCATCGGGTGGCTGTGAGAACAAATGAGATGTATGTGTTTGCATGTATATGTGTTCTTTCCACTAAATGAATCCCAGGGCCCTATTTGTATTTCTACAAAATGAAAACCTTGCCATTTGTGTCAAAGTTCCTCCCAGTGAAGGGGCACTTAATTCTTTTGTGAAATAGAATGTAACGTAGAAGTGTAAGGATCTGGAGAAAACTCAGCTTCTTTAGGTCCGGGACTAGTTGCTTGTGCATTCAGTCTCTGCAAAAGTGTGCATCTTAGGATACATAAGAAATTAAGAGATCTGTGTTCTTCTTACAGTTCTGCTGAGACCTCCAGGTTTTACTGTTTTGTATAAATCAGGTTGTAGCAACTAACAGGGTCTTTGATTCAAGCATAAGCAGTCAGATTCAGTTCAGTACTTCAAAAACTACCCTACTAGTACTCTCACTGAAGTTCACAACCTCTTCTGGGCTTTCCCCTCATCTTTAGTTCAAAAGACCAGACTGTGAGCAGCACAATTGAATTATAAACTCATCTTATACAAGGAGAACCAGCTAGTTCCTTTTTACACCAGGGCAAGGGGGACTCCTCATGGAGTCACCTAACAAGGAGAGTCCTGGTGGACACCACCAGGTGGTTGGTTCCATAATTCTTTAGTAACTTCGAAGTAAATTTACATTGCGGATGTCACATGATGGCATACAACCTGAGTCTGTTACCAAAACAGAGTCATCATATAACTAACCTTGATCTAGCCCTGTGGGTCACCTCACCACCTAGGACAGCAGCTATTTCAAAGTTAAGTGAATAGTTTGTTTTTTGATACCATGTTAGTAACATTGTTTGCTCTCCCCAGCTGGATGGTTTCCCCAGTTCTTGATCCAGTTTTAAACAGAGAGCTCTCTACTTCCTAGATCATGGAAGTTGTTTTTAAGGAAGTTACTTCAACAAACTGCAGAGTTGAATGCACACCTTGTGAAGTCCCCCGTAAGCATGGAACCTCCTCATAAAATGTTAGCTCAAATCGTTGTTTATTGCGTCAGCATGAACCAAACTAGATGATATTCGTGAGCAGTAGAGCTAATGGAATTGTAGATAGAAACAGAGAAGTGCTCCATTTGAAATATTTAAATTTAGGTGAAAATGAGAATAAAGAAGTTTGATTTTAAGACTTGGAAACACTAATGATCTCAATTTATCAGTTGGGATGTTCTCAGCTTTTTGGAACCCTGCTGGGAGTGATAGCCAAGTTCCCTGATAGCTGAGGAGTAACAATTTACCTTCCCAAGTTGAAATGCTCTGCGTGCTTCCCTGTCTGTAAGCCTGTGCAGTGTTGATGGCTGGTTCAAGACAGGAAACTAAGCTAATTATGTTAAGTCAAAACTACACAAAGCAGTTGATCCCTGATGTGACATTCTCGTTTTGCAGTATGATCTCAAAACAGAAACAGCACCTCTTGTTGTGGTAGTTTCTACCACTGGCAACGGAGACCCACCTGACACAGCCCGCAAGTTCGTGAAAGAAATACAGGACAAGACGCTACCAGTTGATTTCTTTGCTCACCTGCGGTATGGATTATTAGGTATGTACTGTATTTTCTTTTCTTACTGTACTGTTATTACTAGCTCTAAATCTGAATGTACCTGAATGTATCTTTTAAAACCATAGTACAGAATGAGGCAAAAGTAGGTTTACAGTTGCTTCTATGGAAAATAAGACAATAATTAATAAATAATTCAAGAATAAACTCTATTTCATGTACTCACAACTGTAAACCTACCTACTTTTGCCCCACCATGTACATAATTGTATAGGTTTTGTCCTTTCTGCTTTAATACAAATACATGTATGATATTTAATTGTAAACGATGTGCTTTGTTTTGTGAAGGCTTCATCCACAGCACCACCTCTACAGAGCCCCTTGAGTAGTATTCTTAACCACAGGTGCACATCAGATTCAACCATGAAGCATTTTCAGACTATTATTGGCTAGCCCCACCCCAAACCTGCTAGTACACAATTCCTGAACGAGCAACGCTGCATGCTGTTTTACTGTTTTTTAAAAAAGCTCCCAGGTGGACCTGATATCTTCCCTAAAAACCATTCTTCTAAGATGGTGGTTTTCTCCCCCCCCCACTTGTAAATCATTTTATTGGTATACATATGAATAGAATACCTTCAGTTCTGTGAGTGAATATTTTATGTGATGTCTTAAAAAGAGTAGTATTTTGATTTTTTTACAGGTGTCAAAGTATATTGTCTCTTAAAATCACACATTAAAAGCTAACATGCAGACAGAAATTAAAGAAATCAAAAACCAAATATCCATAAACCCTCATTCCAATCAACTGTATATGTTAATCTGGGCACACGGGAGAAGCAGCCTTGGCCTCTCACTCTGTCTCACTGTGACTGTTGATGGGATTTCCAGGGTCACTGACTGTGTTGGAATGCACAGCACACACCTGGAAGGAAGACGTTCTCCATGGGAGAGTGTAGAAACATACCCAAGGCCTGATAAATATAATTTATACAAATGATTTATTAGTTTGCTCTGTTAATATAATTACAATGTGCAGTTGCGTACATTGAAAGTAAATTGCTCTATTCAGTCAAGTGCAGATTTGACACAGGTACATCCTGTAGGACCCCACGGTCATCTGGACAGTGTCATGTGAGTGAGTATCTAGTCACCTTGTACACCTCCAGACACTTATCTTGCAGGGCAGACAACAACTACTTCAGAGAAATTGAGGTAAGGCCCATGAGGTACCCGCTGGAATTCATTGAAGGCATACGTAGGAACGCCTAGAAATTAAGCACAAAGGGCTTGGAGAAGCCCAAACAAATACGCTTTGAATACAACAAAATGGATCTGTTTCTGTTTAAAAAGAAAGGAAACAAGGGGAAAAAAGCAAAGAAAAAAGCACCAGGAGAAGAGTGGCTAGGAAGAGGAGGTACTGCCCTGGGTTCCCCTCTGAGGGCCGACCAAGCACCCTGCACAGGGACTTGTGTGTGGATGGCAGCTTTCAATCCTGGCCTCACATTGGGATCGACTGGAGGGGTTTTCACTGAACTCTATTACCTGGTCTACCTCCAGCGATTCTGACTTAATTGTTCTGAGGCAGGGCCCTGGTATCAGCATTTTTAAAAGCTCCGAGGTTAAGAAACACTGGTCTGGGCTTCTATGAAGTATAGATGAAAATAATTAAGATAAAGGATCAGATGGACCGGCTCAGCAACATAGGACACCAGACACTAATTCAGGGTCCATTTTCCTGGCTTGTGACCTGTATTGGTTATCTTTGAGAGAGATTCTGGCAGGAAGGTGTCCAGCAAGTTTGGATTGAGCCCATAAGTAACTGATTAGAAGTTATAGATTATGATCCTGGCTGAGGTCTGTTGTGTATAACATATTCTAGAGAATATTTTGGAGTATTCATGTGTTTTAATTCAAGTTCTTCTAATTTTTAAGGGAGAACATGAATGTATTACTTTAAATTTCTCAATAAATTATTAAAAAGGAAAGACTGAAGCCCATCCGACCATTACAGGCTATCTTAGGTTCATAAATGGACCCACCAATTGCTCACCTTATTCTTATTGGGAAAGTGCATAAAGATTAAGAAACTGAAAAATTTGAGTTTTTAATTTTAGATTTTAACCAGGTATGAAAATGTTAGCCCTTTTCTTACCAGAAACATAGTGAGTGATTGTTTACATTGTGGATGTACTTTCTGTGCTCAAGGTTAGGGGTCAGCAAACCCTATAAAGGCCCACATGGTAATTATTTTAAGCCTTGCAGGCCATGTGGTCTCTATAACAGCCACCCTCCTCTGCTGTGAAGCTTGAAAGTTGCCATAACAGGGTATGAACAAGCAGATTTGGCTAGGTGCCAATAAAACTTTATTTCTAAAGATAGGGTATTTTGGCCCATAGGCTATAGTTTGCAGACCTCTGCACTAGATCAGAAAAGTCTGCAAATACAGAAATGTTTTTTTAAACCTAATGCTTAATTTCAGTATTTCCTTATTTTAACACAGATTCATGGAAACAATATGAAAAAAAATTGTACAGTGGCCAAAAAGTATTTGTAGTTTCATTGTGTCTGGTACTTTTATGTTATAAAATAGAAAAAATTATTTCTTACTCAGTTATACTCAAAAGATAAGAAAATGGAAAGCTATATACTATTTCTTACTCCATCAAAAAGCGCATGAATGGTATTGTTTTAAATATTTTATTTTTATATGTCTTCTTTAAATTTAAAGCTTATTGTACACTGATAACCTATTTGGACTTTTTAGGTCTGGGTGATTCAGAATACACGTACTTCTGTAATGGGGGGAAGGTAATTGATAAACGACTTCAGGAGCTTGGTGCCCGGCATTTCTATGGCACTGGACATGCGGATGACTGTGTAGGGTAAGAGCAATGCACTTTGTCATTTCCGGGAACACTGTTGGTACGTGATGAAAGGTAGCAAGTTGTTGTAATGCCTCATCCTTCTCAGTGTCTGCTAATGGAAGAAATTAGAAAAGGTGTCCCAGTAGTTACCTTCTCGAAAATGTATAGGTGTTTGTAAAAATCAACATTTTCTTTAGGAACTTTGATACCCTGTATGTGTGCTTTTCTCTGTGATGCACACAGGGGAGTGATGGGGGCGGGGCAGGGGGGGTCCTCACATGGAGGGCGCCCAGCCGGCCGTGCCTCACTGAGAGGGAATGCCGATCGGGCCTTCACAGCAGGCTGCATTCCCTGGCACTCTCTTCTTTACATTTTCACGTCCACCAAAATGCAATTTTTTATATTCGTTACTTTCATTTATTCTTCTGCAGTTCAGTATTCCAAACTATTGCCACCCTTCATGTCCTCTTAATATTTATTAAAAGATCTTATAGATATTGTCTTACAACTTATTCTGTCTTTTAACCTTTAACTATTTAAGGCAAATAGCACACACGTTTGATTTTTTTTCCTATGAGGTTCATGCATTAAATGATTTCTTACCAGATCTTTGTTTATGAATAATGACAAATTCAGTCAATGTCTTACTTTCCCGTGTATTACCACCTTGGATGAATGTTGGATATATTGGGTTGGCCCAGAGGTCTGGTACATTTTTTCCCATAAAATAAAAGACACATTTTTCATTTTCACCAATAACTTGATACTTTGTGAGTATGTCATCTGTCTGTTGCTATTGGCTTCTGGTGCCTAGAGGCCAGGGGTGGTGGTAAACATCTTCCAGTGCATAAGACAGCCCCACAGCCAAGAATTATTTGGCCAAAATATCAATAGTACCAAGCACTTTGCAGAGTGCTTTTGACATGTTCGATTAATCACAGCATCTTCTGCATACACTGCACAAATCTTTTTTTGTGCATTTCAGTTGTGTTTTAACCTTTCTTGAAATAATAAAGCATAATATGCTGAAAATGTATATCTTCTTCCATCTTCAATATTAAAATGGCGGCACAAAAGTTAACCAGTTTTGATAAGTTGTTTTGAGAATTCATGCTGATAGAACAGTCTAACAAAATTGTCTTGAATGAAGTTAAAGGCAACTAAGCACTTCCAGAGCCATCGTATGGAAAAAAAAGTAATGGACTTTTTGGACAACTCAGTACTTTTATTCTGTTAAACTCCCCGTTCCTGTCCGTCGTTGCCTGCAGCCGTGATGCCGAGGCTCTTCTCCGTGTCCCCAGTGCACGTGTTCTCCTTGATGGTGCTGACAAAGCTCTACCACATTTTCTTGCATGTTTTGTCCCATTATATTGGACTTTTTTTTTTTCCAGAACCCCATTGGCGTTAAATGTTTATTGTCTTATATGAGCTATTCAATTGCTAACTCTTTGTGTAGTCTATTAGGTCTGTCACTCTGTCCATATTTTACTTCTCTTTAAAGGCTTTCCGTTCTCTGTTCATTCATTGGATCAGGTGTTAAAATTTTTGAATGTATATTTCAGCTGCACGTCTTAAATTTTCAGCCTAATACCTTGCTTGAATTTTCCCTTCTCTAAAAGTAAAGTATTTTCAAGAGGACATTCTAGTTTAATGTACCACAACATTGAAGGGGCTAAGAATGCAGACTGGAGTCCAAATATCTGGATTTAAATCCTCGATCCCTTACTTACTGACTGAAACCTTGGTTAAATTACCTAAACTTTTTGTACTTCTCTGTCTCCTTCTGTGCAGTAGATAATAATAATAATGTGTATTATGTAAGATTCTTGGGAGGATCAAAGGAATTAATATAGGTTGTCCCTTAGAACAGTGCTTACCATACAGTAAACAGTGGACATTAGTACTCTCTCTATGATTATCTTCATATTTCTGAGTTGTGAGACTGGTTTTTTCAATGTGGCTATCATTGTTGAACCCATAATTTTATATACTTATTTTTACAAAAGCTCCTGAGGGTTAGATCTGCCAAACTGAGCACCTAATGAATACAATGAAGTTATAGCCAGAATCAATAACAAAGTCTAAAATGGACGCTTTCTTAATAGTCATTTAGTTTTATGAACTGGAATTTGATTGGTACCTTCATCCACTTGTGATTAAAGATGACAAAGATGTTGTTTCCAAGATCCTGGTACAGTCTTTCTTATCTGTTCACTCATGGTTTCTCTGTTTAGGGAATGTGGGGAATGTTATTGTGAAGTAATTACACTTTGTTAGGAGTAAACAGACCAATGCTTTTCAAATGTACTTAAGATTAATTCAACTTACATAAAGGATGATTGCTTTTTTCCCCCCTATTGTCTGCCTCCCTGGAAATTTTACCAGAAAACTTGTTCAGAGCTGATAGGTTTGAACAATTACTTAGTCAAAAGAGTTAGCATTTATTTCACTGATTTCTTGATATTTTAATTATGTAGGAAAAATAAATCAGTAAGTTGGCTAGGCAAAGAAAGATACTGCATTTTTTTATGTAATTATTATTTGTAATATTAGAGGAAGCTTGGATTTTGGGTAAGTTCTGTTAGCCTAATCAGAATTTAGCATGCTTGTTTAAAATTACAACTTTTTAAAATAAAGATTACCAACTCTATTTTAGGAAATTAATTAAGAAAAATAACCTTCCTATTACCTACTACTAAAATATTGGGTTGGCCAAAATGTCTGTTTAGTTTTTTTCCGTAAAATAAGTAATTTCTCACCAATAACTTTATTGATTTGGATATTTTTAGTATGTTGGCTATCTTCTCCATGGTATAACTTAGATTGTTTTCAATTAATATCTCAATTTGATCACTTTCAACTTAACTGGTCTACTGACTGTGGAGCATTGCCCAGCAAGAAATCTCCAACACAAAATTTAACGAGCTACGTTAGACACATTCGATCAGTCATAGTACCTTCTCCATACACTGCACGAATCTTTTTTGCGTTTCACCTGTGTTTTTCCCTTTTTTTTAAATAATAAAGCATAATATGCTGAATATGCTGAAAATGTTGCACAATTCCTTCCATCTTCAATACTAAAATGACAGAAATTCACCAATTTTGATAAATTTTTTTAAATGCATGCTGATATTGACAGCTGTGACAATACAGTCTAACAAAATTGTTTCAAATGAAGTTAAAGACAACTAAGCACTACTAAAGCCATCTTATGGAAAAAGCCAGACAAGCTTTTTGACCAGCCCAATATCTTCATTTCTGCCCTGACGTGAAGGTGTGGCTCAGTGGGTTGGGCATCGTCCTGGAAAGCAAAAGGTCACCAGTACAATTCCCAGTCAGGGTGCATGCCTGGGTTGTAGGCCAGGTCCCCTGTTGGGATGTGTGAGAGGCAACCGATCCATGTTTCTCTGGCACACTGATGTCTCTCCCTCTCTTTCTCCCTCCCTTTTCCTCTCTCTAAACCTAATTAAAAATAAATCTTTAAAATATCTTCTTTTCTGTTCTTTAAGTTTTATACTAGCTCATATTTTACAGCTCACTGCTAATGAGCTCATACTACTGTTCTGCTTTTTAACTTAGTCATTTGTCAGTAATATTTGTGTTACAAACAAATAGGAATAGTCTTCCTGGTGTTTTTGACAGTTGCCTAGAATAATGGACAGACACTACCATTACCTGTTCTTATACATTTAAATGAAGAACTCAGACATTTGTTTCTTCTCCCCCTTTTCCTTATAACAATCCAGTTTAGAACTTGTGGTTGAGCCGTGGGTTGACGGGCTTTGGGCTGCCCTCACGAAGCATTTTATGTCAAGTAGAGGAAGAGAAGAGATGACTGGGATTCTCAAAACAGCATCAACTGCCTCTCAGAGGATGGAGCCTGTGAAACCAGAATTAATACACATCGAATCACAAGTTGAGCTTCTCGGATTAGATGACTCAGAAAGAAAGGATTTTGAGGTTTCGGAACAAAATGCAGTGAACAGAGGTCAATCAAGTGTTCTAATTGCAGACTTTGAGTCCTCACTTACCCATTCGATACCCCCGCTTTCCCAGGCCTCTCTGAATATTCCTGCTTTACCACCAGAATATCTGCAAGTACATATGGATGAGTCTCTTGACCAGGTAAGCAGCCTTGCTTCATGCTATGTATTATCTTACCATGGATGGGGTTTTTTGGGTTTTTTTTTTTATTACATTACAACATAGGTCAAAAATCTATGGCCTACTGGCCAAATGTTGTCTGCCACCTCTGTGTTGTAAATAAAGTTTTGCTGGAACATAGCCATGCCCTTTTATTTACAAGTCCTCTGGCGGCTTCTGCGCTGTGGTGCAGAGTTGTGTAGTTACCACAGAGGCCTGCCCTCCATGCACTATAGAGGCAGTTGTATTATTACATTACTTCTGTTTTTGAAGAAGTAAATGGTTAAGAGCTCAGTTTTTCAATTATGTTGGGGAATTAAATCCTTTGTTTCTTATTTTTGATGTGAGTCTGTTGAGGGCAAGTTGTTGTGGGCAGTCAGTCAGGATTATCTCAGCAACTAAACTTAAAGGAATCGTTTAGAGCAACATCTCTTTTGCAGTGTGGATTTTTGCTGTCCTGGATGCCGCATCTTGGGGATTATTCTTTTTCTTGATATCTTACAGGACTGTTTTGTCTATAAGAAGTCTTTTTCTTTGCAGGGATGCCCAACCTTTTGGCGTCTCTGTGCCACATTGGAAGAACAACAGTTGTCTTGGGCCACACAATAAATACATTGCAACAGATAATCACACACACACAAAAATCTCAGTGTTTTAAGTTAGTCTACAATTTTGTGTTGGGCCACATTCACAGCCATTCTGGGCCACAGGTTGGACACCCCTGGTTAGAGCATTTTTCCTATCAAATAAATGACTTTAAAGTGTTTTGTAAAATTTTGAGCTCCAGTGAAGTGATAGCTAAATTCTCCTCTTGACTGGCAATCTATGGTACCCTGAAATTTCCTACAGCATGCTTAGGGAAAATTTTCAGTGCAGTCTACCTTTGAATGTGGCTGATTGGAGCTCACAGGGGCTTTCTTACATAAACCACACCCTCAGAGCAGTGATCATGGTTTGTAGTTTTTTAATTTTCTTCTTAATGAAGAAAGACTTATCCATTAGAGAAACAATTTAAGTACAACTTTCTAAGACGTTAGAACTGTTTGCAGACATCTGATATGATAGTAATTTTTTTAGCATCGTATTTTTTTAATACTGTTTTTCTAAAGCTTTCGGATAAACAAGTGTGGGTTACTGCTTTTGACTTATACTGCATTAGTTTGTGAATTAAGTGAGGTTATTACAACAAATGTGAGGTTATTACATTTTAGGTTTGGGAACTAAAGAAAGAGGGCTTGGTTCTATATTAAAAAATGGGCTGCATGGACAATTTGCTCTAAGCATTCTGGGAGAATTGTCAGGGAAGCGGCGACTAGTAAATCTGTGCCTCCACTGGCAGGGGCAGGGTGTACAGACATGGTGCAGAGCCCGCAGCCCCGCGCTGCAAGGATGGAAACGCCCGACGGGCACAGTGAGCTCTGATTGACCTGACAGGCTGCTTTTGTAGGATGAGGGTCTGCTAAGGGAGTTTCTCTTATGGTAGGTGTCTTTACATAGGCTTGAGTTGTTAGTAATGTGATTAAAAGATTTTAAAAATCTCAACTGTTTAAAGAAACTTGTATAAATCTGCTCAAAGGACACACTTAGAGGGAAGGAGATTGGAAAAGTTTCTCTTACTAGGGCATCCTTTTGGGATCGTCACCCCTGGGAACTGATGTATGGGGGAGGGGAGGGTGTCCCGTACCCCGTATGTTTCTTACAATTCAAGCTGTCCACACTGACCGCCTTCCAGCTTCCCATGCAGCCACTTATCCAAAATGAGTAAGGAGCATTTTGTTAAAAGTAAGTTTCTACTTTTAATGGAACTTAGTAACATCAAGTTGGAAAAGGTGTGAGGACAATACAGAGTCAGGTTTCTTTAGTTTCCTAGGATCTGTGCTAATGCAGGTACCACTAGCACATGTGGCTACTTAAATTTAAGTTCCTGAAAATTAACTAAAAATAGGAATGAACCCAGTTCCCTGATCACACTAGCCGTATTTCAGGTGCTCAGTCGGCACGCATGGCTAGTGGCTCCTACACTGGCCAGTGCAGATACGGAATATCCTCATCATTGAGAAAGCCCTGTTGAACATCACTGCCCACGACTGAGGGTTCTTGTGACCATCTGTACTACAGACACCATCCAGTCTTAAACATCTGTCATTTCCTTTAGAATCACCTTCCTGAAATATGTAAGCCTGCTATTTCATTTTGCGTAGCATATTAGGAAGACTATTAGAAATTTACAGGAAAATACTCTTATCTAGTATCAGTATTTCAGAAATTCTAGTGTCTTAACAGATAAGGAGTTTAAAGTGTGATGAGCTTCTCTTGAAAGGTGGATATAAGATCCTGTAAGTCTTACATAGTCACTCAGTGAAACAATGGTAAGTATTATTGAAAATTGCATTTTGTAATATTTTGTCAATGTTTGTTTCTCAAGGAGGAAAGTGAAGTGTCTGTGACTTCAGTGGATCCTGTTTTTCAAGTTCCAATTTCAAAGGCAGTTCAGCTGACTACGAGTGATGCTATGAAAACCACTCTTCTGGTAGAATTGGACATTTCAGTAAGTTGCAGAATTTATTTCTCAGTACAGTCATCTTGTCTAGAAGTACAGAGAGTTTACCTGTGTGGTGTTCTAGTTTGTACACTCAGGAAAAATGAGTCTCTAGCAGAACATCTGGCCTTTTATTCTTTTTTTTTTTTTTTTTAATTGATTATGCTATTACAGTTGTCCTAGTCTTTCCCCCTTTGCTTCCTCCACCCGGTGCCCCCGTTCCCTCCAGCAGTCTCCACCTTAGTTCATGTCTGTGAGTCACGCATGTAAGTTCTTTGGCTTCTCCATTCCCTATACTGTTCTTAACATCCCCCCGTCTATTTTGTACCTACCAATTAGGCTTCTTAATCCCTGTATATTTTACCCCATTTTTCCCTTTCCCTCTCATAACCCTCCACATGATCTCCGTATCTCTGATTCTGTTCCTGTGCTGGTTGTTTGCTTAGTTTATTTTTGTTCTTTAGATTCAGTTTTTGATAGTTGTCAGTTTGTTGTCATTTTAATGTTCATAGTTTTGATTTTCTTCTTTTTCTTAAATTAGTCCCTTTAACATTTCATATAATAAGCAGTTGGTGATAATAAACTCCTTTAGCTTTACCTTGTCTGGGAACCACTTTATCTGCCCTTCAACTCTAAATGATAGCTTTGCTGGATAGAGTAATCTAGGTTGTAGGTCCTTGCTTTTCATCACTTTGAATACTTTTTGTCAATCCCGTCTAGCCTGTGAAGTTTCTTTTGGGAAATCCACTGACAGTCTTTGGGGAGCTCCTTAGTAAATAACTACTTGCTATTCTCTTACTGCTTTTAAGATTCTCTCTTTATCTTTAACCTTTGGCATTTTAATTATGATGTGTCTTGGTGTGCTCCTCTTTGGGTCCAACTCAATTGTGACACTCTGTGCTTCCTGGACTTGCATGTCTATGTCCTTTGCCAAATTAGGGAAATTTTCTTTCATTATTTTTTCAAACGAGTTTTCATTTCTTGTTCTTCCTCTTCTCCTTCTGGCATCCCTATGATTCAGATATTGGCATTTCTGGAGATGTCCCAGAGTTGTCTTATTTTCTCCTCGTTTGTTTTTTTTTTTTTTTGAATTCTTGTTTCTTCATTCTGTTCTAGTCAACTGTTTATTTCTTCCTGTGTTTCAGATCGTTGCTTTGAACCCTGGCTTCCTTCGCTTCATTGTTGGTTCCCTGTGGATTTTTCTTTACTTCACCTAGTGTAGCCTTCATTTCTTTCCTATGCTTTTGCCGTACTCAGTGAGTTCTCAGAGCACCTTATCACCAGTGTTTTGAACTCTGCATCGGATAGGTTGGCTATCTCTGTTTCGTTTAGTTGTTTTTCTGGTGCTTTGTTCTGTTCTTTCATTTGGCTCATACTTTGTCACCTCAATTTCGCAGTTTCCCTGTGTTTGTTTCTGTGTATTAGATAGAGCTGCTTTGATTCCCTGTCTTGCCGTACCTGTTACGTTGTATGGGGCAGAGCCTTAGGTAATCGCTAGGGCAGGGCAACTGCTTTGTTGCTCTGTATGTGGGGGAGGGTTCGGAGCGGGGACCATGTTGCCACATGGCTGCTGGAGGCTTGCTCAGCACTCATCCGGTTTCCAGTCACTTCACCCACTTCCCATATGAGACTAGCGCCCTTCTAGCAGTTGCCCTGTTGGTGGTTCACAGAATGGGTGGGTTTGCATACATTCTAGGACTGTGCAGGCCCTTTAAACGGATTCTTCTGAGAGACTGGCAGTTTCTTCTGCCACCCCAACCTCCACTGGTTTTTACAGCCAGAAGTTATGAGGCTTTATTTTCCCAGCGCTGGAACGTTGGGCTGTGCGGTCTGGCCTGGGGCTGGGACAGGAATCCCTCCCATTTTTTATCCACCACAAGAGAATGTGGGGCCTCCCAGTCTGCCAGCTGCCACTGCCTCGCTGCTGCCACAGAAACATCCACGCCATCCTGGCTCCCTGTCTCTGCCCCTCCTACCCATCTGGATGAATATGGCTTAAATCCTTGGTTGTAGGATTTCCATACAGTTCAATTTTCTGGCAGTTCTGACTTATTTTTTTGTTTTGAGGTTAGTCGTGATCCTTCTTATGGTTGGGCAAGGAGGTGAAGTATGTCTACCTATGCCTCTATCTGGACCAGAAGTTGGCCTATTAGTCTTAACCCATCATACTTCTCCCTACCTCATACGTGTTTTCTTCTCACTTCCAGGAGGGCCTAAAAATGAGCAGCTTGAGAGAATAGTGTTGCTGCCTTACACATTAAGCCATGAAAGAGAATAGTGGCATCAGAACAACTTTTCCATGTGAGAGGAGACCTGGAAGGGAGCTGTTAACCTGAGGTCAACGAGCTAGTTGGAAATAGAATTGAGACTAGACAGTTTATACTGTAGTTCATTTTTCAGAGCACTGGTTCTCATTCCTTTGAGAATCTGGAAAAAATAATCACTGACCCTCTTTCCAGAGAAATGATTATATGTAAACAGTTCCTACAGTTTCAGGAGTCACTGTGTACTTATCTCTGAGCTTTATTCACTAGCCCATTCTCAAAATAAAATTATTTTATTTTGCCCTCCCCAAATCTGTTGACTTCAGTTTAAGAAACTGTGATGGATAATCCTGAATCCTCAGTGTTTGAGTACTTCTTCAGAGTTGAGTAGTTCAACCGTTTATTTTGATGAAGGTCCTGAAAAGTTCAGCAGGTTGCGATTTCAGAAAAATCAGGGCTCATCAAGGCTGCGTATGTAGATTTAATTGAATTTCCTGTGGGGGGAAAAAATGACAGGCATTAAAACTAGGTTTTGCTTACATGCTATTGAGTAATTCCACATTCTCTTGAATATTTTAATATTCCATATTGTTAAATATTTTATGTACATCAAAACATTTTATTTTTTAATTTGCTATTCTACACTTTGGTCACAAAGAGGCAAGAGTTGGCCCGTTGGCAGGTCCAGTCCGTCCCCCTCCCAGGCCAGGACTGTGAGTGTGTGTGGACGGGAGCCCTCTCCAGGACCCTGGTCTGTGTTCTGCATCACTCCGTAAATAGGCACGCTGTTTGTTCACAGCCAGTGCCAAGCCAGATGGGATGACGTTTTCCACTCAGAAGAAAAAAAACAGTGTCCTCTCCCACCGTATCCCTCCCCAAAGGAAGGGAGTAATGAAAGGAAATTGAATATAGACAGCCTTGAGTAGTCTCTTTTGCTTATGTGTGTGCGCGCGCGCCTGTGTGTTTGTTTTCATAAGAGGTTTTTTGTTTGGTTTTTTTATTCTAACATGGATTACTAAAATACTACTTACTGGGATCTCTTACTCTATAACGAATGAGGAAGGTCTTAACTTCCATTCTGTAAATACTCAATGATATAAAGTAAAACAGTGGATAACTGCGGAATTTCATTTTTAAAATAATTCCTTATAAAGTGTGATCATTCAGTTTATTGGGCTCATTAGCTTATTTTTGCAATTAAAACCATTTTGTTTCTAAATTATATATTAAAATGGTGATTATAAAAAAACTGTGATTTTGTTGCTTACAACTAAAATCTTTGGGGTTTATTACAACTCAAATACGGATTTTTTCCTTTTGTGCTGGTTCTTCTCTAGAAAACAGATTTTTCCTATCAGCCTGGAGATGCCTTCAATGTGATCTGTCCCAACAGTGACTCTGAGGTGCAAAGCCTGCTCCAAAGACTGCAGCTCACAGACCAAAGGGAACACCGTGTCCTCTTGAAAATTAAAACAGACACCAAGAAGAAAGGTACGGCCCTGATCTTTTCCTTAACGTGTCCTTGGGCCAGCAGATCCGAGGTGGCAAGTGCGAGTGCGCCTCCCCCCGCAGGCTCCCACTGAGCACCAGTGGATCAGCCGTGTGCCAGCTGAAGAACGTAGGCACTGGGTGTTGCTGGGTTCTTGACCTTTACATCTTGACAGTTACACTGAGTGAGATGATGATGGAGTTAGTTCTTACTGGACACCTACTGACATTAAAAGGGAATGTAACTGGTCTTGGAGAAGCAGCTTGGTTAGTTGGGCTGATTTATTTGCTTTTGGAACTTAGCATTATTTTGTTTCTGAGTTCACATACTAAAATGCCGTACAAGAAAAACTTATTATAGCAACCTTTTTAAAAATCTGTTTTCCTTTTATGATTATTGTAGTATGTTATTGCTTATTTAATATAAATAATTACTTTTTTATAATTAAGGAAATTTTTATTTATTTGCTGAGAGTTTTGAACTTTAGCTCAGGCAGTTCTAAAAATTGTTTCCTTTTGAAACTTCTTTTAACATTAACTTACTGATTTTAAAGTTGGAGGGAGGAAGTAGGGGAGGGAGAGGGACAGAGAGATGTTGGCTTGTTGTTCCACTTATTTAATATATTCATTGGTTGATTCTTGTATGTGCCCCCACTGGGGGTTGAACCTGCAGCCTTGGTTTATTAGGACAACACTCCAACTAATGGAGCTACCTGGCCAGGGCCTAAAATTCCTTTTGAGAAATATATGGGACGTTAATGGACTGCCACATGAGGCTTTTTGTTCTTAGTTTTGAATAATTTTCCTTTCTTTTATTTGGCATACCTAGATTTGGTTGTTACAGCTGTTGAATTTATAATTTTTTTTTTGTAAAATGGGCTTTTCTGCTGTATTTATTTTGAGAAATTTTTTCGACAATAAACAATGTCACAAATCATACTGCAATTTGATAACACTATAATGCAAAGTATTACTGTCACTTGTGTTTTTAGGAGTGCAAAACATTTTACTTTTTATTTTCTGTGTCATGAACGCCTTCTTGTCTACTTAAAAAGGAGCAACATTGCCCCAGCACATACCCGAGAGACGTTCTCTCCAGTTCATTCTTACCTGGTGCCTCGAAATACGAGCGGTTCCGAAAAAGGTACTTTTCTTTCTTCTTCGGGAAACTGTTTACAAATATGGTTAGCTCTGTGTTGAATTTATTAAATAGATCTTGTATGTTTGCCTTTTGAAGTCTTAGAATATATGATCTTCACAACATGTTTTCAAAATTAGTTCCTAAGCGTATGTGGCATCTTTATAACTGTCATAGACAAATATTTTTATGTTGTGTTTACATTTAAACTTTGTGTTTTATTGAAGTGAGATTTCTTAAATAGGGCTTTTTGTTAGTCTTACTTTTACTGGGCATTAATTTGATGTAACACAGTAATTAGTGATAAAAGTGACCCTAGATGACCTTGTGTTACCCAGTGTACATTGACACCTTGTTTCTAATGGCTGACAAGAAATGAGAGTGTACCCGCTCCCCCCCCCCACATTACCTGTTAATGTTGTTAGGCTTCATTTTATGTAAAACTACAGAATTATTTATTGTTAAATCAGAATTTATCAGGAAATACTGAAAGATTTTGGTAGGCTGTATTGAAGTTTAGTTAAATTTGGAGATAGAACTGTCCACTAGATGTCAGTATTTGGCCAGAAGCTGTAACTGATTTATTCCAACCATGTTCCTCAAGTGGATGGTAAGGAGTAAAACTTTCCATCCTGTGCTTTCCCAAACATGTATGGCCAGTGAGCATAAACGTGCTACTATTAGGCCACCCTCTACAATGCAGTTTTACTTTTATTTTAATATGTTTATTGTATTTGTCGCACTTGGGAAGCAAGCTACGTTGAGAGAGGTCGAGCCTTAGATATAATATGAGAAAATTTAGAAATAACTGTAATGAAAGCTTTATGATTAAATAAATTCAAAATTTTGGTTTAATTCTACCATATTTTTTTAATTTTCATAAAGTATATTTTTCTTACTACAAAAGTAATGTGCTCGTTGTAAAAATTACAGACACAAAAATAGCTAACCCAAGAAGCAAAAGTCCTTTATAATCAGACCTTTACAGTGAATGCTTGAATTTTATTTTGCGTTTTTAAAAAGAATGAGGTCGTATAGTATATGTATCATTCTGTAATGTGTGTGTGTGTGTGTGTGTGTGTGTATGTTTACTTAAGAAGAAATCAATAAAACAATAGATGCCATGAGCACACCATAATTAAATTTTTGATTTAATCATGGACAATTGGTTCCTTCCAGTTTTTTTCACTATTAAAGACTGAGGGGAACATTCATGCACTATATTCATTTTTTGCACACCTCTTTAATGTGTTTTTTAAACAAATTCCTTGGAGTAGAATTGCTACTTTAAAAATACTTGCACTTTTAATTTTAGTAATTTCCATCAGCTTGTTCTCTGCAAGCAGTGCAGTATGTCCTAGTAGTACTATAAAGTGTCTGTAATTCTAAAGTGAAAAATAATTTAAAGGTTTACAATTGCTGCTATTTTACTGTAATTTAGGAAATTTTGTTGACTCAAGAAATGGATACAAAGTGTCATTGGTAAACTTCCTTACCTTACCATAGACCCCTGCAGAGACTTGGATGTTTAGTCATTCTGCAGCCTTTCCCAGGTGCTCGTCGTGTGTTTGGCACTCAGGCACTTCGAGAAAGCCATGGCATGTGTTAAGTCTCTGGATCATTTTGGCAGGGTTCGTAGCTAAGCCAGAGGAAGCCTGTGACCCCGGTAAGAATAGCAATCTGGTCTGCCCTGTTGATGAAATCCAGAACACATGAAGTCTGAGCCATGGAACAAAAGCAGCAGCACCTGTTAGCGTTTTGGGTAGCATCTGATGCAGATAACGTGGAAGTGCTTTCATCCTAAACCTTGAGTAGTAGTAAGAGCTATATTTGTTAGAAAATAGATAAGCTTGGAATTGCATTTGGAACCCCAGATCATTAACATGTTTGGTCCTTTGTTTAAGAGTTTGGACTTGGGTCAGTCTTTGAGATTTGGGATTCAGGACTTTGTTTTGCTTTATTTGTTCATATTCCCCACTTTCTGCAATGAATCTGAGTGACTAAGTGTCCATGTACTGCAGGGTGTTTGATGTTCCGGCCCTCCTGTCTCTTCAGCCTTCAGGCCCATGTCTGTGTTTTCCTGTGCCCATATTGAACTGCATGTGGTCCCCGTGCTTTCATGCAGCTGTGCCATCTGTTTAGCCATTTTTCATTCCCCTTGTTTCACGTGGCCCAGCTTTACCTGAGCCTTGCATTTGGGGCAGCCGCTAACATCCGTATGTGCCCCTGTTGAGGGAACTGACTTCTTGCACACAAATTGCTCCTTGACTTCTGTTGCTCTCACGAGCCATAAACCCTTATGGGCAAGGTAGATGTCATTTTGTCCCCAGTGTCTCACCTGCCCAGTGCCTATCACTTCAAAAGCACTTAACAGTTGTTAAGTACTAGTAAATGTAGATGTCTAGGTTGTAATAATCAGCTAAGACAAGAAGAGTATTGTATACTGAGACAAAATGTTGAGTTAAGAGACTTTTTGATCACTTATACTCAGATACACAGAACTTGTAATTCGAGATCATATTTGTGACTAAAGAGGTCAGTTCAGGATATAAGAAAGGTGAACGAAAATAGAACATAAAAGTGGGTTTCTCTAACAGGCTGACATTAAAGCAAATATCAAAGTAAATTCCCTTTTTCTGATCATGCTTTTGGTGGTGCTCTCACTTAGGTAATCGGGCACATCCCAGGGGTGACACTAACAAACAGTCAAATAGCCATAACCCCAGAGCACATGGTGATTTAAGTCAGCTTCCTTTACTTTGGCCACAGGCATTTCTGCGAGCCCTCGTGGACTATACCAGTGATGGTGCTGAAAAGCGAAGGCTGCAGGAGCTGTGCAGCAGACAGGGGGCGACCGATTACAACCGTTTTGTGAGAGATGCCTCTACCAGCGTGTTAGACCTTCTGCTTGCTTTCCCGTCCTGCCAGCCTCCGCTCGGCCTCCTGCTCGGTAGGTGGTCACAGCCCTGGCCCCCGAGCGCCAGGGCTGCTCTTTGTGCTGAAGACCAGCGGCTGCTGGCATGTCGCCTGGGCTGTGCATTCTGTGCGGACATTCCGGAGCACAGCTACATGAGCTGCGAGCAGCAGGCCCGCCTCCTACAGTTTGCCTCCCAGGTGCCTGGACCTCTGAACTGCCCTCTAGAAGGCAGAAGGAACCCCACTTCCACACTTTCTTGTACACTTGTTTCTTCTGCTGTTGTCACTGTCATTTGCTCTCAGTATAGCAAATCCTAATTCTCACTTTTTGCTCAGCATTCAGCATCTATTCTATTAATTTTACTATTTTTCAGAAAGGATTTTTCCAAATTTTATCTAACAATGAACTTTTCCAGAAAAAAAAAATGAATTTTTTTCAAAGACAGTGAATACCACATTTAATTATGTAGGTGTGCACTTTATTTGCAGGTAACATGTTTTGTATGAGTCCAGGTTTAGGGTTCTTCAAGAGCCAAAGGGGACTGTCTTGTTGTACCAGTACAAGGGGCCATACAGAGAGCACTTCTAGGCATTAAGCCTGAGAGAGGCTAATCACAAAACACTCAGCTGTGTGTTGATCTCTGTTTGTCCATCCTGTCTCTTGGGGCTCTCAAACTCCAACAGAAGAGGGTTTAAGATCCTTCTCGAGGAACTGGTTCAGGGGAAAGGAGGGTTTTCAGTGGAGTCTTTGTTGCTATAAGAACTGTAATGATTTTTAAATGTATATTACTTTCCTGTGCTTGTAATTTTGTCTTCTCCACTCTGTTTATGTGTAGTTACAATAAGTAGTAAAATTCCTAAAATTTGCATGGTCTTTGGTAACAGGAAAATGTGTATTATGCTTTTTACTGTTGGGCCAGCAAAATCTTTTTTGGTGCCCACAGTATACAGTTAAAGGCTCTCTCCTTCACAAGTCAGGCCCTGCTGTCTTTTTCATTTTATTTCTTAGTATTTTGCTCTATTTCCTGTTTCCTCCTCAAAAGAATAAAAAAGTGTTACCAAGTAAGACTGCTCTTCCCTGCTTTCCTGTATTCACACACTCCTGCTGTTTTTATGGAGTCTTTTAGGCTAATAGAGGGCTTGGGGTAACATGAAGGGAAGTTACAGGAAGTCTTGTAAAGCTCTCAATCATAAAAAAGTATATTTCTTTTCATGGATTTTCTATTACTTTTTAAAACTTTTATGTATAATTTATTACATAGTTATGTAAAAAATTTAATCAAGACATTGAGACATTAAAATTTGAATAATTTTTCAATTTAAGAAAACTTGATATATATAAAGCTTAGTATTAAACTTGATATATATAAAGCTTAGTATTAAGTCATGTATGAAACCTTTTTTAAAATATTTATTAAAACTAAACCATTTTAGAAAGATCTTTTCAAATTTTTGCTAAATACTGCATTTTGCCACGTATAAGGTGCTCCTGTGTATAATGCGCACCCACATTTTTGGCCCAGACTTCCAGGGAAAAAAATCTTTTGTTTTAATTTTTAAATTCAAGTATGTATGTATGTAGGTATATTTAGATGCTTTTTTTTTTTTTTTAAATAAAGGAATTTCGGAATCTATCTTTTAACATTATGGTACAAGAAATTTTATGTAACAAATAATTACAAAACACAAGAACACGTAGAAGGTATTTCAGGTACTACCCATGTATAGTGTGCATCCTTATTTTTCCGTCAAAAATTTGGGCAAAGAAGTGCATGTTATACATGGCAAAATACAGCAACTGTTACAAATATAATATTGAAAATCTTTACTCTTACAAATATTGAAAATTATTACAAACATGACTGAAAAATGCCAAAGCTTTTTGGTGGACAAATAGGTATTTAAATATTGATTGCTTAATCTGTTTTAAAAACACCTGTATATCTTGAAATCACTGAGTTCCTGGATAGCTTGATTTAAAAATGCCCATTACCCCCCCTCCTACTTTTTCTGTTACTATCATGTAGGAAGGAAAAATATTTCAAGCCTCAGTACCTATAATTCGTAAAATAGAGGTCTTTAATCTTTGGGGGTCATGGTCTTATTTCAAATCTGAAAATTCTCTGAACACTCTCCCCAGAAAACTGCACGCGCACACACGAAAATTTAATGGGTTTCTTGACCGTGACACCCACTCATGGCCTTATTCTATAGCATCCTTTAGTTTCAGAGACCAGCCATTAAATAGAAATACTGATTTCAGATTAAGGAAATGCAGTATGTGTGCTTTACTCTGGGAATTCGGGAAAAATACTCAATAGTGTTTTCCCTAGATGTGGTAAACTTACATGTGCTTTAAAGTGATTTAAAACTCAAATTATTTTGAATAACCTAAATACAATTAGAATCAAATGAGACCTTGATTTTTTTTTTCCTTATAGAGGATTTATTTTCAGTAGCCACAAGTTAATAATTGCTTATTTTTATTTTTTTCTAGAACATCTTCCTAAGCTTCAGCCCAGACCATATTCATGTGCAAGGTACTGATCATTTCATTAACGTGCTATGTAGCATCTGCTTCCCAAAATGTTACGGAAGTCCACCTTCCAAAGCTTTAGTAGCTGCACATTCATTTAGTGGAAACTTACCTGATTTGTGGAGAAGTGCCAGGCATAGTAAAGAAGGAAGCAGACCAGTGTCAGGAGTTCTTACAGCGGGGACCCTTCAGTGGCTCCCATGCTGCAAGCTGTGTTCCCACTTCGGTCACTGACCCTGCAGGTTCTCCTCCTGCTGCCAGTGGTGTGTCAGCTCGCCTTCCTTGACAATGGGGGAGGACTGGCAAGAGAGGGGCAAGTGTACAGATCCTACCGTACCTAGCCTTGAAGACAAACAGGTCGTTAGAAACTTCCCTAAGCGATATTATAAAATGGAGGCATGGGTGGGGGCTTTTAAGTAGCAACAGAGCTCTTCTCTCTAGAAGTTAGAAGGTACATTTGAGCCCATAAGGAAAAACAAGGTGGAGCATAAATAGGTTTACAGTCATTCCTACATAAAGTAATATAATAATTCAGTAAAAACACAAGAATGTACTTTGTGTTTCATTATTCATAACTGTAAACCTACTTGTGCCCCACTCTGGATTTTCACTGCAATAAAAAAGGGTTAGTTTGGCCTAATTGTGTTAGTCCTAACAGAGTTTAAAAATGTGTGTGTGTGTCTTTGCAGCTCAAGTCTAGCTCACCCAGGGAAGCTTCGCTTTGTTTTTAACATTGTGGAGTTTTTGTCCAATACCACATCGGTGGTTGTGCGGAGAGGCGTGTGCACGGGCTGGCTGGCCACGTTGGTGGAGTCGGTTCTTCAGCCAAACACACGTGCATCCCATGCAGACGGCAGGAAAGCCCTGGCTCCAGAGGTACTAGCAGTATGCTGTTTGGCATTATCGAAATTACGTTCTTTGCCTGATTAGAAAAAGCATGTAGTTTCCCTGCACAGTTCATTACCATGAGATTATTCAAAGGAGAGTGTATGCTATACTTGAATTTTTAAATCCCTGTTAGAAAGTCAGGAAAACATTACTTTCACTCTCTATTAAGTGATCTGTGCATTTTGTAAATGTGTGAAGCATGATTTTTATATACCACGGTCTTTTCTCTTTTGCTTGTCATATTTATAGAAAGATGACTTTTTCTGTTAATACTTTTGGTAGATTGGCACAGAAAAAGTCAAGTGAATATTGAAAACTGCGTCATTTTATGTTTAGGCTGTATACTGTGTCCCAAATGTGTTCTTTTTGAATGGCAGTCCGCTGACAACCAAAGACTGACTCTATGTCCTTCGGTGTGGGCAGCAGGGTTTCCACTTGCTGCTCCTTCTTCCCTGTTTTCAGAGCTGTGGTGTGTAGATTCTGAAGTAGCGCTGTTAGAAGCTATTGTGGCGGGGGGTGGAGGAAATCACTTTTAGAACACATAGAATGAAAATGTTATTTGATTTTTTAAAATAGACTGTGGACACATTTGTATCTGGACTTAGTGACATCTTTTATATTGTGATACAGCACTCAGCAAAATCTCGTTCAAGACCACATACAGAGACAGCAATTTAAAGTTGTCCCTCCCACCCATAAGAATGATTGAAATTTAAAACAAACAAACAAAAAACTTTAGGCTTTATTGTGAAGTTTTCTTTCTCCATGGTATTGAAGAAATGAATGTGTTACCTTCTGACTGGTTTGGTTGCTATAAGTTATTGGAATTGAAAAGGTCACAGCCCTTAGAGGGAACTAAGACCTCTGGTATATACTTGAGAGGGCTCACAGGAAGACTGCTGCTTGAAGTTGCCCTTTTACTTGGTATTTTCTCAGTCTGCTGCCTGGAACGGGGCACGGGGGGCGGTGTATGTGTGTGTGTGTGTCTCCCCTCCATTTCTTTCCTCCCTCCTCCATACTCCTAGACTTATTATGTCTTTACAAAACATCGATAACCAGAGAAAATTCTTTTTTTGAAAAAAAAAATTGTAGTATTTACATAAAAGTACTATGTCACTTCATGATCATATAATATCAGATGATCTTCAGAAAGTTAAAAAAAAAAATAAAAGTATATCCATAATGTATCACAAACACTAAGCAGGGGTGTCCTTGCCACATTTTTTCTTTTCTCCGGCCTTTTCCTCCCTCTTTCCTTCTCCACTTTAACAGATTTTTATTGACTACCCAATATGCAGAAGTCAGAGGTACAGATAGAAAGGATACAGCTTAAAACTGTCTTAAGTTTCACGGTGCTTATATAGTGGTGCCGTATTTAATTAGGAAGTGTAGAGAATGTTAAGGGCATGATCCACCACAGGCCCTCCCCCAAAACTCGTAGGTAGTACGATTGTTCACATCTCCCCTGCCCAAATCCCCCTACCTCCCAGTGCAATAGACGTCCCCTCCCATTGGCATTTAGCCTCCACCAGTGAATCCTGAGCATACATGGTATATGCCACATCAGAGCAGGAGCCCTCGGCCTGATGGCTCGGCTCGCCTCCCTCTGTGCTTCCCTCTGACGTAAGGACAGGATCATCCAGGCCAGGCCTGCTTCTTGGCCTTGGACCCCAAGTGAAGGAGATTCAGGGAACAGAGCTTAGCTGCAGTGTTAAGGAGAATCTGCAGTCAGTGTGCAGTGCTGTAAGCCCTCGGAGCTGTACTGCAGCAAGAGCCCCCTGCTGACTCAGGTCTCCTTGCAGTCCCTCAAGGTAGAGACCAGGCTTCAGGTAGCAGTTCATGGCCACACCCATCATGTCCTGCCTTACTTTGGTTCGTGAGACTTAATCACCCATCATTCTAGGGATGTGTTTGTTGATTGTCTTTTCCACCCACTAGAATATAAGTCCCATGAAGATGGATTTGGTTTTGCTCCATTGTCTATTCATAGTGCTTGTCATTCTGAATACCTTCAGTAAAATTGTTAAGTGAATGAATCAAGTGAACAGGCCAATGTGGTATTAACTACAGTCTCATTCCATAATGAGAACAATGATTTGACACATCTCTGCCAATTCTTCACCTAGAAAGTCAGTCCTATCGATGAACTTCATGGGATTTGTTCTTTGAATTAAAGGTTGAAATATATAGTTACCAGAAGGAAGTACAGAGTGGATTCCTGTCATTCCTTAGTCTTAGTACCCCCCTGCGTAACTTATGCAGGTGGCAAAGTGAAACTGGAGAGAAGTATTAATATGTTTACAAACTGATGCCTTGTAAGTAACCCTGGCACATGAGTTAAAAGAAAAATCTTTTGAAATTTTGATGAAAGGATTTTATCTGCCTTTATCACTTACTCTTTTAGTTTAGTACAGACAGAAATAACATGAACCCAGAATACCACAGCACAATTCTCTAGCATCTTTGGAGCAAGCCCTTATCTTCCCATTCGGTTGCCTAATTTTCACTTAAAACTTTTCACACTATCTTGATGTTAATCTTTTATTGCTCCCATATGCACAAACAGAAAGAGTCATGTCTTCATTTTTTTCTACATTTCTCCAAAATACATGTAATGGGTTGTACACTGGGAAGCAGATCTTATTCATGGAACTAGAAAAAGTGGTTCTATATATCCAGTCAGTGTTCTACCTTAGAAATATCGTGCCCGTCATTTTTAAAACACCATTGATTTGAATGGAAAATAAAAATTTGTAAAACATACGTGTTTCTCTAGTGACAGCTGTGTTCATGGTGTCAATAAGACGTAATGCTATTTAAATTTATGATGTGTTTTTAAGGGGAATTTGCACTTTTTGATTTCTTTAGCAAAGATCATCTTGGTTATATACTTAGGGATTTTCTTTCATTTTATAATTTGGTTTAATACTCCAGATATCCATCTCTCCTCGGACAACAAATTCTTTTCACTTACCAAGTGACCCTGCAGTCCCCATCATCATGGTGGGTCCGGGAACTGGCATCGCGCCCTTCATTGGTTTCCTGCAGCACAGGTATGTGCTGTCTTTGGCTGGTGAGCACACAGATCCCCTGTGATCCTTGGTGGGAATGAACAGAGCTTTTTTGTTTCTTCAGTGGTTTTTAGGATATTGGATTTCAGTTGTAAAATTTTTATTTAAGAAAATTATTAAATGTGTGAGAGCATAACATAATTTGTCATCACAAGAAAAAGAAATACGGTGTCTTCTAAAGGTTTTGCTTTGTGCTGGAACCTCCCTTTTCACTCTAGCACGTCCTCCCTGGCTGCACCGCAGTTGGCAGTGTACGTAGCTGGGGACAAACTTGCAGCCGGGCTCTATGTTCCGATCATGTGCAGGCTGTTGCATCAGTTCCTTAAGTAGATAAAATTGGTGGCAACAGAACCAGTTCTCCCATAAGCTTCAAAGTTAAGCCTTAGATATCAGTAATTTTCAATAGGATGACATAAATAGATGTAACTTTGTACCAGGACAGAACTGTTTGATATAGAATTAATAAAATTGTGCTTCTCTCCCGACTTGTGAAATAATGAAGTTTTTATGTACCATTCCCCAGATAGTGGAGTAACATTCTTTGGACATAGTCTTTTTGTTGTTTTGTTTTGTTTTAGTTTGTTTGTTTTTTTTCCCCTTAATAAAGCAAAAGAGTAGTGATAAACACACACAGTCTCACTGGTGTGTCCACAGCAGGTTATTGTACCTTGCAAAGCCTTGTGCCACTTTTGCGTCATATTAATTGAGAGTTAATTTTATTCATAAAATTGCTGTAATATTGAATATAGAAATTAGTCCAGGTTTAACAGTGTGGTATTTTGAACTTTCGTGTAATAAAGATGTCACATAGAGCTCTTAAGTGTCTGTAGCTCATAGAGACATGTACTCATTGTGGTGTCTGCAGGAGGGGCCAAGTCACCCTCTGGGGAGTAGAATGTTAATTTACTGAGTGAACATTCAAGGGCTGCAAAGACAGATTTTACAGACCTTTCTGGGTTGGTAATAAAGTATTTCCACCAAAGAGGGAGATTGGTTGTACGTACTCCTTACGTTAAACATCTCAACTTTCTTTTTTACTTAGAGAGAAACTCCAAGAACAACATCCAGATGAACACTTTGGGGCGACATGGTTGTTCTTTGGCTGCAGACATCAGGATAGGGATTATTTATTCAGGTATTCTGCACTTCTAGTATTGTCAGACTCAGTCACGGGTGTCCAGTTCTTATTGCAGGCTTTTTCAACTTTAAATTACACACCTTCCTGTGACCCATTATATACTGTATTTCAGAGAAGAGCTCAGACATTTCCAGAAGCATGGAATCCTAACTCACCTGAAGGTTTCCTTCTCAAGAGATGCTCCTGTCAGAGAAGAAGAAGCCCCAGTGAAGTATGTGCAAGACAACATCCAGCTTCACAGCAAACAGGTGGCAAGGCTCCTTCTTCGTGAAAATGGCTGTATTTATGTGTGTGGGTAAGTGACTGTCATGCTCAGGTGCCAGGTAGTAGAGGCAGGCAGTGATATTTATTAAAGGATCAAGGGACTAGTCAGTTAATAATAATCCAGACATGTAGGAATGAGAGATTTGATTCTTAAGTACAAGAAGAGACATATAAGTTCTAAAATGACTTTAACATACATTTTACTGTAGGAGGAAGGTCGAGTTCAGTTCCTGCCATGCTAGGGTCTTGTTTAACACTTCTTTCATTTAACAACCACTCAAGTGCCCTAGTGAGTGCTTTGGCACTGTGCAGATGTCGAGCAGGGTGAAGATGAATGAGATGTGCTCCCCGCCCCCAGATAGCGCACTGCCCTGGGTGGAGAGCGCGGGACCAGATGCCTGCCATATAGCAAGTGCTGTTCAGGAGACTACAGGGCACCCGGGAGGGGCCCTCACCCTTCCTGTGGATGAACGGAGCTAAGATGTGTCAGAGCACTTGGGGAAGGGCCAGGCGCATGTAAGTTCTCAGAGGGCGGGTCATTACTGTGTGTGTGCGTGCATATGATGCCTTAGATGCACCTGCAAGAGAGAGCTTGTTGCTCTGGGGATGCAAGCCCCACTGTGTGCCTTGAGAATGGTAGAAGGAAAGAGAGGTGAGCAGGAGCCACATGGGAAGGTCTTTGGGCACTTAAGATTTGGACTGCTCCCGGGACATGGACACTGAAGGATTTTGAGCTGTGACCAGTGTGGTTGGCCATGCACGTTAGAATGGTCACTGTGTGACAGCCTGGGTGTCAGGGGAGTGATGGGAGACTGGGGCTGAGAGACCTTTCCTGATAAGTGGAAGGAGGGCTCAAGTATAGTGATAGGGCATCAGTGGGAATTAGACTCATGAATTAAGAAGGATTTGGTTAAAAAAAAAAAACTTTCTCTAATATTGTTACTATTATTTTTTTCTAGAGATGCTAAGAATATGGCCAAGGATGTAAATGATACCCTTGTGGAAATAATAAGCAAAGAGGTTGGAGTTGATAAACTGGAAGCAATGAAAACTTTGGCTACTTTAAAAGAAGAAAAACGTTATCTTCAGGATATTTGGTCATAAAATCAGAAAATGAAGAAAATTAAGAGTTTTTTTGTTTGTTTTTGGCTGAAAGTACTGAAAGAGAACTTTGACGCTTCAGACTTTCAATTTTCAAAATTAAAAACAAAATTAACTTTCCTTAGAGGAGGTAGGATGGGGAGTGGATCTCGTAAGAGGATAGCAGACTTCTGGTCTGGTTTTCCATATGCCCCGGCCTCACCTCCGCGTGCCTTTTGTAGGCCCCCTGAGCTGAGGGGCACCCTCACTTCTCCACGAGCACCTCCGGGGCCACTCCTCCATCCTGGGGAACTTGAACAGATCACAGGGACTCTGTATCTGTTTGTGTGGGGGCTTCCCGGTAGGGCACGTGGGCGCTGGAGTCCATCAGGCAGAGCGTTAAATGTGTGAAGTCATGTTGCCAGTTTTTTAAATAATGTAAAAATAATTTATTCTTATATGAAATATACCATAAAAATATGTTAAAATTACAGTGTATAGCATATCTGAGTATATGTTGGTATTTATCAGATATCTATTTTAATATCAAAACTATATTTCTGATAAAAAATATTTTAAGGTAATGCCTACAGGGAATTTTCTTTTTATAGTCCTAGAAATGTGAATTATATTTTGAAATTCTGCTCTGGCATATGATTTATTTACCACAATTTTTTACACCAGTTTCAGAAATTAAGGAAATTTGCATTCAGTTTACAGATGTGAACCAGTGTGTATTTTAGTAAAGCTACCTTATTCTCCTGCCTTTGCCCACCCCCAAATCTTTTCATTTATGCTCCTTTTGGCATAATTTTTAGTTTTTCCACATAACTTACCCCCGTAATATCACACAAACTGTATCCAAGGCTTAAAATATCTGCTGAAATTAATACCTTTGTATTTTTAAATTCCTACTTCAGTTTGAATATTTTTGTTTCCCAAAATACATAGGCTCAAATCCTAACCTCCAGTGTAGTGGCTTTAGGAGGTTAGGGCCTTTGGGAGGTGCTTGGGTCTGAGTGTGGAGCCCTCCTGAACGGGACCAGTGTCCTGGTGAAAGAGGCCCACACAGCTCCTAGCTGCTCCTACCGTATGGGGACTCTCAGAAGCTGCAGTCTGCAGTCTCCAAGAGGCCTTCGCCGCAGCCCAACTGAGCTGGCATGCTGGCCCTGGGCTTCCATCTTCCAGAACTAGGTCAAATGAGTATCTCATTATAAGTCACCCAGTGTCTGCTTTTGTTACAGCAGACCGAATGAACTAAGACAGTTCCCAGTGACAAATTCTCTTAAAATTTGTCAAAACAAAGTGAAAGGGGACTTGATAAATTTTTAATAGTCTCTAGTATATATTGTATTTGTATTTGAGATTGGCATTTCAAAAAACAAATCTCTGTGTCAAAGGCTTCTGGCCTTTTGAAAAATAAAGATCTGAGGAAATTTAATCTTAAGGTTTGATAAAGCTTTATGACTGTTCATTACATTATTCTCTAATCTCATATTTGTATGATTGTACAACAGAAGTAAATCTAAAAAGGTATAAGAAAACATCATGCAAATACTATGTTACATACATAATTAAATGTCCATGTTGTATATATATATATATCAGCCAAAATATACCTAAAGTGAAAAAGTACAATATTTTTTATTGATAACTATAACAAGAAGATGTAACAATCAGGAACTTGTGCCCACCTACCAATTAATTGTCTGTAAATTTGTGACCTGAAAACTGATCGATCCATAGAGAGAAATTGACAAATACTCATGGTGGTCACTGGAACAAGACCTGTGCTGTCTTGTTTATGCATAACATTCAGGTTATTTCTGAGATCTACTAGATGTTAGATCTCAAATGTCAGGTGAGTATTGATCGGCAGATGATAGTGAAAATAGATCTCAGTCCAGATTCTATTTATTTTTGGATAGAGAAACATCAATTTGTTGTTCTACTTGTTTATGCATTCATCGGTTGATTCCTGGATGTGCCCTGACTGGGGATCGAACTCACATCCTTGGCACATTGGGACAACCATCTAAGCAACTGAGCTACCCAACCAGGGCTACAACATACTAAACAATAAATTAGTAGGCACCAAACAATTCCCACAACCTATTACATAAGTTGAGTGAAACTCTAGCTGGCCAGCTCCCTCTTTAGGTAGTCCAGCTGTATCTGGCGTGGAAAGTTTATTCAAAGTGGTTGTATTTTAGGGATAGGATTCTGTTACTCATCCCCACCATTAGCTGTCCTCCAACCCAGTGGTGGGTGCGGTGCTATTGGGTTAAGCCTCTAGCACCGTCCCGGGGCCTTGCTAGATTGACCTCGCTTATGTAGGGATGGGGAGTACCTCTGAGTGAGTCTATCCAAACTTTATCTTGAGTACCACTGGTTTTACCAGTAAGACCTTTTCTAACCTGTTATTCTAACAAGCCATTGCTGGACCCATTATTTTCAGTAACATGCTGATCAGTGATAAAAGAGGTGAGCTGTGGTCACTGTTGGCAATACAGCTTCCCTCATCCGAACGCGGACTGCATCCAGAGGGGTCTTCACTCCGTAACACGCTGACATATCTGTGAAGTATTCAAAATTATAGACACCATAATACTGGGCCAGTAATCTACTTAGTCACTAACGGGTGAAAAAAAAAGAATTTGAACACAATTAGCAAACTGGATGATGTATATATTGCATCCACTAAACTGGACACCCACATTGGTTTTAAATATACTTGAAACATTTTTTTAAATTGGCCATAAAATCTCAACTAATGGCCTAAAATATGGCATTGTTCTCTGACCCTAACAGAATTAAAAATCAGCTCTAAAAAGCAACCCATGCAGGCCACAATGAAGAATTTTACATGTAAATGATTCATGGCACAAGGAGGAAATAAAAATGAAATACAGAATATTTAGCACTGATTTAAAGTATTACATTTAACATGGAGTACAGTCAACACAAGAACCAGAGAGAAATCTTACTCATTTCACAGAATTTTGAGGGCCAGCTTTGCCAGGAACTTCCCAGAGCTGTGGACACAGCAAAACACCTTGTTCTTGGGGAGCTTACATTAGGTTGAGGAGAGACTAAGTAAATTCAGTTATGTGATTTCTGAAAAGGTGATGACGGCTGAGGAGAAAGGCTGAATGAAGGGGATCTGGTATGCAGTGTTGGGGGGCTAGGCAACTTCAGACAGGGAGACCTCTGAGAAGGGAGAGACTTGAAGGAGCTAGGAATGCTGTGTGTCTTCAGGCAGAAGGGGAAGTCAATACAAAGGCCATGAGGTAGGGCAGTGTCTCATAAGTTTGAGGGAACAGAAAAGAAATGGGGAGGTTGAAGATACATGGCCTTGAGGCCGTGTAGATTTTGGTTTTTCCTCGAAGTGATTAGAAAGCCATGTGGTCAGAGGAGCAACACTGACTACATCCTGAAGTGCTTCACTCCGGCTGTTGTAGAGACCTGCAGGAGTATCTATAGATACAATCTGTATTCTTTTGTAAGAAAAATTTGTCCCTTCTCCCAATTGATGTATTTTTTTTTACCAGTATGAGCTCATGGGTATTTACTGAGTACTTTGGATTATAATACAATTACGCATTCTGTTGTTGCTCAAATAGTTCACCTTTGGCTACTGTTGAGGCCTTTTTGTGTGACTCCTGTGTACTGTGGACATGCTTCTTGTTTTTGAGCATGTCCTTATTTTCTGTCACCCCAAGTTGCTCCAATATTTTGTATTTTGCCTGCCGCAGTATTACAATCAACCATATCTCCAAAGAAGCCTTATCTACTTTTATAAGAGAACCCCAGAAAATCACTCACTCTTCTCTTTTCCCTACCTATGATTGTGCCTCTTCTAGACCATGATATGACCAGAATGATAACAATAAGAGGTAGCTTTTGGGGTGAGTCTTCTTTCATTAGCAAAATGTGTTCAAGGTCCATCCATATGGTTGTGTGAATTGTTAGCTGGTTCCATTTTATTGCTAGGTAATATTCTGTTGTATGGATATACCAACTTTATTCATTCACTTGTTGAAGGTAATCTGTTTTTCCTACTTTGAGGCAATTACAGTTAAACTGCTATAAACATTTTTGTAGAGATGGCTACATGAACATAAATTTACAACTCACCTGAATACCCAGGAATAGGATTTCTGTGTTAAATGCTAAGTTTTTCCATTTCCTTTATTTAAAAAAAAAAAAAATTTCTAAGAAGCTTCTATACTGTCTTTCAAAGTAGTTTCCCCCCACAATTTCTGTATACTTGTCTTCAAGGAACAATTTTAAAGCTTGAATTTCACTATACGATTTTTAGGGTTAATTCTGGCTATTTTTAAGTATTTTATCTGATTGGCTTCATTTAAAATATCACACCAGGGGAAAAAAAAAGATGGTTCAGAAAAAAAAAATCTCATACAGCTGAGAACAAAATCTGAGAAGCACCTTTGGTGTCCATGTTAACTTTAGTTTGCAGTGACTTGGCCCTGTTAAAAGCTGAGGCTGATGTATCACATGCATTCTTACTGCACTCAGAGCTTCCTCGTGAGCGTGCCATGTCAGGGAGCGTCCTTTCCTCGTGACACCGGTCTTCTGAAGCAGTGTTCACCTATGAAGGGAGACTGAAAGGAAACAGTTGTTGTTTTCCAAATGTTAAAAAAGTCACCAGGAAGAAAAATGTCAGGTAGTCACAGAATAATAGAACTGAAGTAACTCAAGTTTTATTTCTTTTTGCTTATAATCTCTATGCTATCATTTCACATTTTTAAACTGTTGAAATGCAGTATTTATCTTTTTTACTCTAATATTTATTTTACTTTATATGTTTAACTGGTGTAATTATGTTTCCATATATCAAGTTCAATAAGAGGAAAATGTTCACTCTCCTTGCCGTTATTATATGAATTCCATTGTGTAATTACTAATGAAAATAATTTTGTCATATGGAGGGTGGTGCTAAACCATAATCTGCTTGAGGTGACTTCTTCCTCATAGTGTGGCCTCAGGGAGAGGAGGCTGCCTGGCCCAGAATAGTGAGTTGCGGGCGGAGGGAGTGCAGAAGGAATAGCATTAAAAAACTGAATGAAAGATAAAGAAAAAGATGTTTAAATTTTACCATTTTCTTAATATATCTTCACTGTGTTAAAATACAGAAACTGGACTTCAGACTGTCTAGTATATGGCTGTCATGCCTTTGCTTTCACTGTCTCTGTCATTTGAAAAATAAAATGCTCTTTCTTCATTGTGTAGTGTGGCGCAGTGCCTCAGAATGATCAAGGGTGCGTGGAGGTTGCTGAAGGAGTGTTTTCAGTTTGCTGTCAAATATGAGTCAAAAATTGAAAAGGAACTTGGTCAGGAGGGTCTTGTTTCCTTTAAGTTGCAGCTTGGTCATTGTGGGCCGCACCGTCCCTGATGGAGCAGTCTGCCCCCCGGGAAAATCGAGGGACAGCGGGATCACTCACGTCACACATGCACATCCCCACGTCCTCCCGTGGCCAGCGTGAGCTCACGTCATGCGTGCACGTTCCCGAGTCCTGTGGGCAGTGCACCCGTTCTGGGAACTGTGAGATACTGAGCTCCGTGGCAGCCAGTCATCACCACGCCGTTTATTGCAAAGCAGACCACCCAGTATCTTTAAAATGATGTTGAATTTAAGAGGAAATGTGTAATGTATGTATGAATTACATGTTCATTTCTGATCATTCACCCTTTACAATTTTGATTTTCAGATATATACAACCACAACTGATCTTTGTTGAAACAATTGCCAAGGACAAGTGCAATACTCATTCACAAAAGGCATCTTTTATTCTCCCCTGCCCCCACAGGGTATGAGGAACACAGCTTAAAAATGCCTGGAGACCTGTGGGTCTTTATGGCTTCGATTCTTTTCACAACACAGCCACACTTTGGTCTGGGTTTCTGAAAAGGCCACACACATACCTTCACTCCAACAGCACAAGAGGAGACTTAATTACATAGTATTTCTTTAGCGACTAATCATAAAGTTAATGATGTGTATAGAGTGTACTTCTAATTATTTTTATCCAAAAATAAATCTCACAACGTTTTGAATTAGAGGCTCTAGTTAAGCCAGGAGTGGGGAAGCTTCATGATATTCCCACCTTCGGTCTCTTTGCCTTCACGACAAGAACTCAGGCAGCCTTTGTGAAAGGCTGTGTCACGTCATCTACCTTAAGGGGAAATTATTAAATCTTTATCAATATCAGAAACTAGGTTGGAGTTTTAACCTAAACTCCATAGGAATTTTGACGATGGTCCATGAGATGAGTTAACACAGATTAAGTGCTTAGAGCTATGCCTGTTACAAAATAAGTAAGGATCTAAAACGTGTCTGTATTTACTATGAATACTACTGTTGCTACTATTACTACTATTACTGTCACTTCTACAGTTGTTCCTGGAGAAACACCTGTGAGTGCATATGCTCTGAATTTCAGAGGAGTGATTTGCACATGGCAAGGTCACTTCAATATGTTTTTAGTTCCCCTGGCAAGTCCCCTCTGCTGCGCGGTTCCAGGACACGCCTCCGTCTCCACAGTCCTTGATTCAATAGCAGTTAACTCAGCACCTTTCACCAG